GGGTGTGTCGGTTGTGTAGGGTGTGGATGTTGTTGGTTGGTGTGTAGGGTATGGATTTGATCTGTGGGTGTGTCGGTTGTGTAGGGTGTTGATGTTGTTTGTTGGTGTGTAGGGTATGGATGTGGTCTTTGGGTGTGTCGGTTGTGTAGGGTATGGATGTTATTTGTTGGTGTGTAGGGTATTGATGTAATCTGTGGGTGTGTCAGTTGTGTAGGGTGTGGATGTTGTTGGTTGGTGTGTAGGGTATTGATGTAATCTGTGGGTGTGTCGGTTGTGTAGGGTACTGACGTTGTTTGTGGGTGTGTGGGTTGTGTAGGGTACTGATGTGGTCTGGAGGTGTGTGGGTTGTGTAGGGTACGGATGTGGTCTGGGGGTGTGTCGGTTGTGTAGGGTATGGATGTGGTCTGTGGGTGTATGGATTGCGTAGGGTATAGATGTGATCTGTGGGTGTATGGGTTGTGTACGGTACGGATGTGGTCTGGAGGTGTGTGGGTTGTGTAGGGTATGGATGTGGTCTGTGGGTGTATGGATTGCGTAGGGTATGGATGTGGTCTGGAGGTGTGTGGGTTGTGTAGGGTATGGTTGTGGTCTGTGGGTGTGGGTGTTGTGTAGGGTAATGATGTAATCTGTCAAGGTGTGGGTTGTATAGGGTATGGATGTGGTCTGTGGGTGTGTGGGTTGTGTTGGGTGTGGATGTGGTATGTGGGTGTGTAGAGTAGGGATGTGATCTGTAGGTGTCTGGGTTGTGTAGGGTATGAATGTGGTCCGTGGGTTTGTGGGTTGTGTAGGGTATGGATGTGGTCTGTTGGTGTGTGGGTTGTGTAGGGAGCGGATGTGGTCTTTTGGTGTGTGGGTTGTGTAGGGTATGGATGTAGTCTGTAGGTGTGTGGGTTGTGTAGGGTATGGGTTAGGGTGTGGGTATATGGGTGTGGGTGTGTTGTTGATGGGTGTTGTGTAGGGTAATGATGTAATCTGTCAAGGTGTGGGTTGTATAGGGTATGGATGTGGTCTGTGGGTGTGTGGGTTGTGTTGGGTGTGGATGTGGTCTGTGGGTGTGTAGAGTAGGGATGTGATCTGTAGGTGTCTGTTTTGTGAAGGGTAAGGATGTGGGTTGTGGGTTGTGCAGGGTGTGGATGTGGTCTTTGGGCGTGTGAGTTGTGTAGGGTATGGATGTGGTCTGTAGGTGTGTGGGTTGTGTAGGGTATAGATGTGGATTGATGGTTGTGAAACGTATTTGGGTTGTGTAGGGTATGGATGTTGTTTGTTGGTGTGTAGGGTATGGATGTGATCTGTGAGTGTGTCGGTTGTGTAGGGTGTTGATGTTGTTTGTTGGTGTGAAGGGTATGGATGTGATCTGTGGGTGTGTCGGTTGTGTAGGGTGTGGATGTTGTTTGTTGGTGTGTAGGGTATGGATGTGATCTGTGGGTGTGTCGGTTGTGTAGGGTGTGGATGTTGTTTGTTGGTGTGTAGGGTATGGATATGGTCTCTGGGTGTGGGGGTTGTGTAGGGTGTGGATGTGGTCTGTGTGTGTGTGTGTGTTGTGTAGGGTGTGGTCTGTGTGTGTGTGTGTTGTGTAGGGTATGGATGTGGATTGTGGGTTGTGTAGGGTATTTGGGTTGTGTAGGACGTGTGAGTTGTGTAGGGTGTGGATGTGGATTGTGGGTTGTATAGGGTATTTGGGTTGTGTAGGGTATGGATGTGGTCTGGAGGTGTGTGGGTTGTGTAGGGTATGGATGTTGTCTCTTTCTATGTGGAAATGGGCGTATGAGACGTGAATGGGTGGGTGAATGTGTTCACGCGATCCTTATAGTCAACAGACTTATTTTCATCAATATTAACATATATATCTACCGACAGTAATGTAAAAAGAATGGATTTACACGAAAAGAATCTTTACCGATATCAAAAGCCTCTTAATGGCCTATTAATGGTTCTAGTAGCTAATGCGCTGATGGGAATATTTATCCATTCACTGTTTTCGAAACACAATCAAATCACATTTACTCAAGGATACCAAGGTCGTGACAGCGTTGTCATAGCAATGAACCGGAAGTGGACAACACAGTCTGTATTGGATAGACAGGCTTGCTTTCATTGGCCATTTGGTCAATGAAATCCCAGGCATCGCGTCCTCATAAGAGTGTATTGCTTCCCGTGGACAACAGAAATGTTTGTATAGCTAGGTATGAATATAAATGTGTCCCAGACCACGGCACACAGTGCCATTCATTAAGGAGATAAACTTACTGTAATTTCAATGCAGAGCTAATTTACCGATACATTTAACAACCTTGAAGATCCGGGGTAGAATAGGCCTTCAGCAACCCATGCTTGCCGTAAAAGTAGACTGCTTGTCGTGACAGGCGACTAACGGAGTGGGGTGGTCAGGCTCGCTGACTTGGCTGCTGCATGTCATTGTATCCCAATTGCATGGATCGATGCTCATGATGTCAATCACTGGATTGCCTGGTCCAGACTCGATTATTTACAGACCGCAGTCATATAGCTGGAATATTGCTGAGTGCGGCGTTAAACAACAAACAAACAAACAAATAAACAACATTTACATAAGATGCATAGGGACACCAAAATGATATTACACATCGGATTATCATTTTACCGTCCGTGAAAAGTTCTAACAAGTTTACTGTTAGGTCGGTAATCGTCCAACATGAGTGTTTCATCTGATAGCTACTTACGACTTTACATTAAACATATGTTTCGACGAGGAGAATTTGCGTTGGTGTTGGAGTGATTCGTGACAATACAAAGTCATTGATTATATGGAACACGAGGGCTGTAGTACACATGCATACAGAAATAACGTGGTCATACCGGAAGGAATCTTTGTTGAGGAAAGTCTGTATTAATCTGGTCGTCATTGTACAGAATATTAATGTCAAAAGAACGTTGACAATATGTTGTTGTTTCGAATTTGAAAATTGTACAGGTATCGATCGAATCGAAGTTCGAAAGGGCTAACTTGAAAGCACACAACATTTATCTCCATTCTACTGTGACACAATATCAAAACAAACGCGGATTCTTTGATTATAGCGGAAATGAGGATCGATTGAGCCTGAATATTTCAAACAGGTTGAAAGGGCGAATTCAGGGCCCAGTGAAGATCGGTTTTAATCTGATATTATTTGCTATATTTACCCAAACCATAAGTATCACCATAACACTCGAACCACTTCTATGAGACCCAATATATCACGTATACATATATCCTGTAATCTTTATTTTCAAATCGACATCCCTAGAGAAATTGAAGCCATTCTGATTCTGTTCTGAAGTACAAATCACTATTATGGCATCATAAACTTCTTCAGATGGGAAGTTTCAGCATTGTGATGCGGTGAACATGACGTCACACTACCTGACGGAGCAGCGGAAAAGCCTTTTTTACGTGACTTAATGTTTCAATACACTCTCTAAGTATTTATTTGTCAATTTATCCGCCTGAAATGTATTGTTATACTTGCTGTAAACCATATGGAACCGCAATAAGTTATTTACCAACGAATGAAGTAAGCTCACTCGTTGCAATTGCTACACGAGCGGATTAACGAAAGAAGTGCTCATGAATAAATAGTAAATAGTTTCTTTCGCAGTAATGGGGACATCAGCCGTGTCATGGTCTAGCGTAGTTGGAATCATAAAGCATGATTCCAACAAGTCGTGGTGGAATTTACAGTATAGCATATAACTTTCGCTTTTAACACTGAAATCTTTCGTGTCCGAGTCGATGTTTTCATTGCTGCATCGACTGCTGTTGACCTCCGCTTCTACTTGTATTGGAGCTTGTCCGTAAAATGGAAGGTCTAAAAATAATCAAACCCATGATTCTACAGGAGAAAAAAATTACAGATGCCTCGCAGTGTATGATTGAAGTAATGTACAGTCACATTTCTTGCAGACAGTGTGTTTTTAAATATAGAGAAGTCAAATCTTAATTTACAACTTCTCTTATTAAACTGTGACCTGTCTGTAATGCTAAGGGAAATCCAGAGTTATAGTTGCTAAGGCAGTATGTTGTTGTCTTCAAAGACAGCTTTTGCGACACCCCTGATACCGACCCGTGAAGATCCGGGGTAGAATAGGTCTTCAGCAAACTCGCATCTCGACAGCGACGCAAACGACCACGACCACTACCACTACCACTACCACTACCACTACCACTACCACTGCCACTACCACTATCCCTACCACTACCACTACCACTACTACCACTACCACTACCACTACTACTACTACTACTACTACTGCTGCTGCTGCTGCTGCTGCTGCTACTACTACTACTACCACTACTGCTACTGCTACTACTATAACCACTACTACTACTACTACTACTACTACTACTACTACTGCTACTACAACTACTACTTCTACTACTACTACTACCACAACTACTACTACTGCTACTACCATGCTTATCGTCCAAACGGATCCATGTTATAACTATCTGGACATGTACCCCTTTAATATATAATAATACAGAGACACCGCGCTACAGTTCTTTTTTATAAATTAATTTCCTAAAACCGTTTTCATTTATCTTTCATGTGTAGCAGAGCAAGGTGTACCATCAACTAGTGCATGCATTATATATCAGAAAGTATTGTTCTGAAGCAATCGTTATGAAAAGTTGTTGTGCATTGTAATAACAGCATTTGTTTATATTACATTATATTTTTTTATTTTTAAATCTTTATTACTTTGATCATCTAATGTGAATTTGATTAATACTAGCATCTAACATAAACATTCTTACATCCTATGATTAATATTTTCTTGACTCACACAAAGATATTCACATGTCTTTAATCCACATCGATGTCCAGGATCAAGACAAGGGATCTCAAATACCATAATTGTTATATCCATCGCTTGAAAGATAACATTCCCAGTGTTAAAGGTCACATGCACTTTAAAATTCAGATAATAGGCACTACTGTATTAGATATAAGTTAAATATTTAAGTTAAGAATTACGCAATGTTATTTCTTAAATTTCTCAAAAATATTACACTCTTCAAAAAAAAACCCGCCACAGCTACGGAGACTACAGGACACGGAGCTACCGAGACTGCAGGACACATCCCTGGTTTGAGGAGGATGTCCGACAAGGCTGTCAGGAACCATCTCCGCGAGGCTGAAGTCCGACCCAGAAGACCCGTTATAACAGATCCATCGACAGAGACGCTTGTGCGTTGGTGCCATACCTTACAGCTTTGGCATTTGAGAAACTGGAGACGAGTGCGGTTTAGCGATGAATCACGATTTCTTCTTCACCGGCGATATGGTAGACAACGTGTTTATCGTTGTCGAAATGAGCGATTTGCCCCGCATTGTGTACGTGAATTCGACAATTTCGGTGGCGGTAGAGTCATGGTGTGTGTGTGTGTGTGTGTGCGTGCGTGCGTGCGTGCGTGCGTGCGTGCGTGCGTGCGTGCGTGTGTGTGTGTGTGTGATATCCTACACCACGATATCTGACTTGGTAAGGGAAATTTGACAGCAACTCGCTAGATGAATCAAATTCTTCAACCTCACCTTCTTGACCGTCAGAGGGAGCTGTTTCAACAGGACAACGCTCCACCGCACACAGTTCGGGTCACGGTACACTACCTTCATAATTCTAACATCAACGTCTTGCCCTGGCCGTCCAGATCTCCAGATCTCAACCCAATCGAACGCTTCTGTAATCAACTCGTGTACGTCAACGTCAGAACACGCCGCAGAAACTCCAACAAATGGCCAACGCGTTACAAGCAGAATGGCGCATAATTCGTACACTCAGTCAGTGCCGAGGAGATGCAGAGGCATGATTGCTGCCCGGGGCGGTCACACGGGACACTGAGTTCAGCGCAACCTTGTGGCCTTGTGTGACATGACAATGAACAGTTTTCAATGCCTTTGTATAACGACAACATGTGACTATCGAGCTCCAAAATCTCTTATTTGTATCTATGCTATTGAAATAAATATATCGACTTTATAAGGTACCATAAGTATACCACAATCTACCGGTGCGTTTCTTTTGTTGGACCCGTCACGATATGGCTGAAATATTGCCGATGTGACTTAAAGCAATAACTCACTCACTCATTCTTTTGTTGGAGAGTGTATGTTTTAAAAAAGAAGATTTATTGAATACTGATCAGTCTCGCTTGAAAATGCTTGAATCGTCAAGAAACTAATTCAGACGCTAAAGGTACGCTCGATCAACATAGGGGCGGTCGGGTAGCCTAGTGGTTAAAGCGTTCGCTCGTCACGCCGAAGACCCGGGTTCGATTCCCGACATGGGTACAATGTGTGAAGCCCATTTCTGGTGTCCCCCGCCGTGATATTGCTGGAATATTGCTAAAAGCGGCGTAAAACCATACTCACTCACTCACTCACTCACTCGATCAACATACGTATTGTCTGCTTTTAATGTTTACAGCACACAACATAGCATCAACTATTCACCCGTCATAGCGACCATTGTTGCAGCAAGACGAGTTCTTCAAGTGATTTGTCACTGTGGATGTGTGTCCGATACTATCGCTATTCGATGTTGACGATAACTTAAAACAGGGCAGACACACTCATGATACTTACATCGTAATGTCCCTGAATTCATGGACTCTTTCTAACCGAAGCATTGTTACAACCAAGAGTCATCAGTATTGATTCATCATTTAGTTCTTGGAAGTTATTAATATCGTCGATTGGTCTTCGCGAACCTCATTTGCTCGTCAACATGACAGGAGAGAGGGTCGGAATTTTGGTATTAGCTATTTTCCATTCGGTTTTGTCGGACCATGTGTTTTTTCGATCCTTGGCCAGCTGCAGCAGGGACTACAAGTTTGTGACTGACGTAAATGTTACGACGACTGCAGCATCGCGGATCGACTGTTTGAAAGAATGCGCAACACACACATGGTGCCGTGGAGCAAACATGTGTCTGGTTAATGGTCATCCCAGGTTACAATGCGAATTATTGGGAGCAGCTTCCGGTCAGTCATGTGGTAACCTTCAGGCCGAACCCGGATGTTCCTATAGGGAAAAGGTAAAAAATGAAGTCAAGAAACTTATTTACATTTTTTCAGATTATACAGCCATATTGAATGATGTGAAGTAAAGTTATGAAGCTTATTTGATTATACTTAAAACTTGCGCTTTTGTCTTTGACCATGGATGTACTAACTGAACTGGTAATTAGTTACTGTTATTCAACAATGACGGTCTGGGTTTTCCTTGTCATTTACTTTGATAGAACAGTTTCATGAAATATGTTTGTCGCTATCAGGATTGGAACCCGCGAAGTCCGCACCAAACTTCATTGCTGACTAATTTAGACATGGAAGAACGTATGTGGAATACAAAATGTCATATTTACCAACACCAAGACTGATAGTTAATGCGTTTATGGACGGGAATATTAGGGATTTATGTTATTCTACGCATTGAACGTATGTGTGTTTTGACATTGTAACTTTTCGTTACCAATTATACTTTTATGGACTTTTATGTTTGCTTATTATTAGCCCATTAACATGGGCAAGTAATGTTCAGGTGATTGATGGATATGTTCGAGTTGGTCCTATATGAATTCAATTTTTGTATCCCTGCCTAGGGAAATATATATCATAATCCGACTCATTAAAGAGTGAATCAAGAGTGGGTTACCGGTGCGAGAGGCGGGAAGCACATCACACGTGCATCCCACAGGCGCGGCTCACACAATGTTATCACAGTTAAACATAGGTGGTGAGGTGAAATGGGGTTTAACGTTGCGTCCAAGATTATTGCATTTATATAGCGACGTGCATGCACGTGTATGTGTGCGTGCGGCTGCTTGTACTAGTCCGGACTGATGCCGATTTATAGTGCTAGCCTACTGAGATACCATGCCGCAGTTTAATATGAATACCCCACTCAGACACAGTATACTGACTCCGAGCCGATCAATCCTTGTTTTAGCCCCTTAATGCCGAGCGCCAGACAGGGTAACAACAAGTACCATCTTTTAACGTTTGGTTGGGGATCGAAACCCCGGACCTTCCGCTCTACGGGCGGACGCTATACCATTGGACCACGGAGGCGGTCCAGTTAAACATAGAGTTCTGGAATATACGCGGATCCTGATGGGGCATGCTGATGTTTGCAAGGGCTCAACACCCCTTTTTAATCATACTATTTATTTTAACGCATACAAACATGTAACTTGAATAACTAGCTGTTTTCATCAAAAAACAATTCACTAATCTTTGGCTTACAAATACAAATTGTTTCTCTAATGTTTGTCATGTTGCACATTTATTTACTTTTATTTTTAATGCACACCTCATCGCTTTTTTTTCTAAAAAGCCGTGCTCGTTGCGAGTTTGTAGCTAAACAGGTTTTGGTGATTTATTTTACCATGATTTTCTTGATTCTTTGGCAGGTTTCAGAAGCGAACCCATGTCAGAATGGCGGAACGTACGTTGTGAGCAATGCTACCTGTATCTGTGTGTTTGGGTTTACGGGACAACTTTGTGAGAGGCGATATTACGGTAGGTTACAGAATTATCTCGATACGTTTTACAACAGTTTTACTGAATACTTTACTGTGCATTTCCCATTGTCTACCGGACATATTCCACGTCAGAGATGGCCTCAGAACCACAAGGTGACTTGAGTCCATATTCTGGATTTATAGTGCTAGCCCACTCAGATACCATGACGAGTCTAACATGGATACCCCTCTCAGCCACAGTATCCTGACTCCGAGCCGACCAGTCCTTGTTTCATACCCTTAGTGCCGAGCGCAAGACAAAGTAACAAGTACCATTTTTTAACGTCTTTTGGTTGACGCATTCGGGGACCGAACCACCGACATTCCGCTCTCCAGGCAGAGGCTCTATTCACAACACCACTCAGACGGTCCTAAGAACAAGAGTCACCTTCGATTGAGCTAAATATTAATTGATTGCGGGGATCGGTGCTCATACTATTGACCACGGTTTACCTTTAGGCCCTCAAAATGGCAAATGGTGGCACGGGTGGCTTAGTCGTCTAAGGTTCCGTGTGCATTTACTGTGCAGAGTGGCGTCCATCCGCTGATGTGCAGTGATATAACTGGAGTACTGTTCAAAGCGGCGTTACACCACACTCACTCACTTACTATGATGGCAGATTATAGCGTAAAATAAGAAATGCCTGTCAGTGTTCATCGTGCTTTTGCGACTATATCATGAGCATGTGTTTTTGAATCACTTTTAAATAGTTATGATACCAGGTGTACTCGAAACTGTGAGCCTATCCTGCCCTACCTGCAGCACCCGTCACAAACACATGCAAAGGCAAGCTCACCTCTGCGAGAACACCTGGGTATCACCACTATTTGATAATTATTATCATATTAAACACAGGATCATGATATAATCAGAATCGTACTATGCACTCTGCTTTTATGAATTATGAACAGTTCCAGGCGAATTCTGCGATTCCGCGATCGCGAAAAAAAATCAGAAAATGCAATTCAGAATTGCAGACAAATAATTGAAATTGCCTTTTTATTGGTATTAATTCGCATTATTTTCGAGCTATAGTTATCGAATTGAGCAGTTGAATGATGCCCAAATATTCAACATGCAATTTGGTTGATGCATGTCATCGATCCCAATTGCGTGGATCGATGTTTATGATGTCAATCACTGGATTGTCTGGTCCAGACTCGATTATTTACAGACCGCCGTCATATAGTTGGAATATTGCTGAGTGCGGCGTTAAACAACAAACAAACAAAACATAACTATGCTTCAATCGAACCATAAATAAAAATCAGTGACACTGGTATGCATATTTATTTGCATGATTTTATTTCTTGAAATGTCTGAAGGCATGAGATTAAAGAAAAAAGTAAGCTTGTATAAATGTTGAAGGGCAAACTGGTATTGTTTTTATCGCAGAATTGTGCAATTTAACAGCAGATAGTTTTGTAATTTTACCGCAAAAGTTTGTTAATTTTACCGCAGAATTCATCTGGGATGTATGAATGTGGAAAGGGTTTTCTAGCTGTTGTTTATTTAATTGAATATCCAATGACAAAATAGAAAATCGTTAAACGGTTCACTTAACATGATAACGTGAATGTTCCCTTTCCAGATTATGCGTTAAACATACGTGACCATGTCATGTCCTGTTTCAGATTGTTCCGAGGCCTACTTGATGGGAGAGCGAGTTGCCGGTCACATCACTCCTCTTGTCATCCAACCCCTGACCTCCCCATCCCCCTTCACAGTGTCCTGCTACCTGGACTGGGGCGGCTTCACTTTCATCGAGAAACGGATGGGAGGCGCTTGTCCTGACGTCGACTTCAACGTCACGTGGGCGGAATTGAAACACTTTATAGGAGACGTGGAGTGTTCATATTGGCTGGGCCTGGAGCACATCCACCAGCTAACCCAGCAGAATACCTACATGCTAGATATGTACATCACATCGCATAATGGTTTTGGGGGACACGCCTTGTACTCGGACTTCAGCCTTGACAGTGAAGGTCAAGGCTACAAGTTCAACTATAACGTCTACGTTCGCCATGGTTATCCTGCAGATGATGGATTTGCATATGGCAGTGGCAATGATGTCAATGGCTTCGATTTTTCAACTCTTGATCGTCCTGACCCTGATGAATGTGTCCGCGGTGGCGCCGCCTGGTGGTATGGTTCAAGCTGCCCGGAAGTGAACCTCCATATGCCGATGCAAACCGGAGGTATCGCCAACCCAGCTACATGGGTGAATGTTGGAACTGAGATTGAAGTGACCACACTGATGTTTCAGTTGTCTACAACATGGCCTTGACCCCCCCCCCCCCCCCCCCCCCCCCCCCCCCCCCCCCCCCCCCCCCCCCCCCAAAAAAAAGTACTGGAATCTGCACTGTACTAAGATAGTGTTAGCCCAAATATAACATTTGTTACATGTTTAAGGACCGACCGTTAAATAAATTACTCAAAAGAACTTAAGGACATGACATATTAACATATTAACAATAGTAATATGAAAGAATCGGGAGATCCTTAACTTCTTTTGAGTACTATTTACTGCGTTTTTGCATGCGACAGAATATTTGCTTCACACAAGCACGCACTTACGTACAACATAATGTGGTATAGCCCTCATTAGACACATGCGTTCAGTTTGGGCTGAGGGATCTTTACGGTTTTTAGGTTAGGCATGAAAAGTTTTTGTTATTTAACGTGATAATTCTTTCGATAATTGGTCGCGAATAGCTGCAATATTGAGGATACTGATAAGCAATATTCACTCACTCATTCGATATTTGATGCGATCGAACACTTTACTAGTTCGTTTTTTTTGTCGTTCCAATATTTCGTGTTGCCCTTAACTTGTGTTGTTTACATTCAATTCAGTCAATGTCAACCCACACCCGTGCCTGTAGTCAGATGCATTGTAATCAGGTCTAAACAAATAACTTATATGTTCTTTTGATCTCTAACATCCTCTCTCACAGATTGTACTGATGACATCTTACAATTTGAACATTTGGGGGAGCCATGGAAATTTTTGACAAAAAAATAATTTATTCCGGAAAAAGATTTTTGACACTAAAATAGAATAATTGTTAGCTGGATAAGCTGAAAATCCTAAAAAATATATGACTGTCCGATATCCGACTCCACCTTTTAAAGAAAGTCATAGTAGGTTTTGATCGAAGTGGTGACCGAAAACATTCTGTCACTTGTTTGAAGCCGCGCTCAACAATTTTCCAGTTATATGACGGCGGCCTGTGACGAATTGAGTCTTGGCCAGACAAACCAGTGATTGATATTGTGAGCAGTGATCGTCCATCCGGGTACGATGACAAACAATCAACCGCGTTACAAAGTCTGACTGCACCAAATGCATTAAGTGGATAAATTCTACCCCGGAATCTCCACCCAAGGCACTTACAGATCCACGTAGATGTGCAATTCCGTGATACTGACCAAGACAGAACACGACTTGAATCTTCGAGCGGTCGATTTTGATTTTCACAGTGAAAGCATCGATAAAAAATAAACACTTTAAATATTTCCCATAAGTACTGTAAAGTTGAGTGCAAGCCCTTAGGTTCTCGTCGTTGCACGACCTCCTTGTGGGAGATGAATGCTTGTATGTTTGAGAGCTGCTCAGAGAAAAATCAATGATTGTGTGGATGATAGAATAGGTTTTTTTCAAAACATTCAAATACGAGTACCATAAAAATAACAACACCCTCGGTGCTAATGGACAAGACTAATAGACACATACAACCCTTCACCCGACCTTGCCACACTGGCATAGTCAATACAATTGGAAAACAAGACATCTATGAAAGATTCCTCGTCAAGACAAATACAAATCAAAGATGTTAAACGCGTGTATTTATCTTTGGCTGAATTATTGATGGATGCACGGATCCATGTCGCTAATGGCGTTATAATTTAAGATGCGACCCTTAATGCTATAGAAACGGGAGGAGGGGCGTCGGTTCTTTTGTTAAAAAAATACCGAATCTATAAATGTTTTACAAAACAATCCACTATACGGAAGCTACAGTAATATGGACGAATAGGTAGTCCTTCTTAATAGCTTGTGGGTAGTATAGTTTCCGCAATTATAAATTGTACTTTTCGTTGTTTTTACAGAAAATAAGATGGATATGATGTGGTTTAGTTGTGAAGGGGAAATACGGGCGATGATTGGTGTGTTCGGAGCCATAATGAAAGTAATTAAAATGATGTAAAACAGTTGTTTTATCACAATCCCCTACCACATTTGCCAACGAGGGGTTTTATCCCAGTTTCCACACTAACGGGGGGCGGTCGGGTAGCCTAGTGGTTAAAGCGTTCGCTCGTCACGCCGAAGACCCGGGTTCGATTCCCGACATGGGTACAATGTGTGAGGCCCATTTCTGGTGTCCCCCGCCGTGATATTGCTGGAATATTGCTAAAAGCGGCGTAAAAACATACTCACTCACTCACTCACTCCACACTCACGGATGGTAGCCATGGCAAATTGAATGATATGCCTGATTTGTGCAATGTTGATATAAATGTGACATTTATGTATGCGTGTGATATTAATGTACAAATTTGTGCAAAATATTTTTGTCTGTAAATAAACATGTGTGCACAAAAATAAGTTGATTGAGCCTCACATAGAAAGACTTGACATACATAGATTAAAATGGTTTATTTTTTAACATTATTCAATTCCACATTGATACACCTTTGCTGATATTATCCGAGTTTCGTAGTTCTTTTCGCATTCCAAAAGGTTATACACAGTTGCTTGAACGCCATCGTTGAAGTCGAAAGGGGTTCTGACGGAGCCAGACGAAGGGAATAAGGTGGGTGCTGAAGGCGTTCAAAGTCACATTCGTGGATTGTAGCCATGGCATCACACTCTTGGTCGACGCCTACCAGATCCGGGGTAGGATAGGTCTTCAGCAACCCATGCTTGCCGTAAGAGGCGACTAACGGGATCGGGTGGTCAGGCTCGCTGACTTGGTTGATGCATGTCATCGTATCCCAATTGCGTGGATCGATGCTAATGATGTCAAACACTGGATTGTCTGGTCTAGACTCGATTATTTACAGACCGCCGTCATACAGCTGGAATATTGCTGAGTGCGGCGTTAAAAAGCAAGCAAGCAAACAAACAAACAAAACATACACAAAGACTTATGTTCGATCCCATATGGTCAGTCTGTGACCTGGTTACGCCATTACTTCTTTATCTATACTTAGGAAAGTACGTGGCATAAGAAACAATATCTTGGTATTCCGCTGCCGGTGATGGGACCCCCAACCTTCACCTCACCGGAAAAACGCTCTCCATGGCGAAGGGGGGAAGCTGCATATGAAATATGGCTTTTCTGCTATATTTCAAAGACTAGTTTTGCAGAACCAGACATATCAAAGGGGGGAAGCTGCATATGAGATATGGCTTTTCTGCTATATTTCAAAGACTAGTTTTGCAGAACCAGACATATCAAAGGGGGGAAGCTGCATATGAGATATGGCTTTTCTGCTATATTTCAAAGACTAGTTTTGCAGAACCAGACATATCAAAGGGGGGAAGCTGCATATGAGATATGGCTTTTCTGCTATATTTCAAAGACTAGTTTTGCAGAACCAGACATATCAAAGGGGGGAAGCTGCATATGAGATATGGCTTTTCTGCTATATTTCAAAGACTAGTTTTGCAGAACCAGACATATCAAAGGGGGGAAGCTGCATATGAGATATGGCTTTTCTGCTATATTTCAAAGACTAGTTTTGCAGAACCAGACATATCAAAGGGGGGAAGCTGCATATGAGATATGGCTTTTCTGCTATATTTCAAAGACTAGTTTTGCAGAACCAGACATATCTACCTTTTTAATGAAGAGGATACAAATACCTTCAATACTGGAACAGAGAAATAATGGGTTATGGAAAATATGATTGCAAATATAACGCGTAATTGGGGTTCGATCCTCTGCCCCAAATGGCATTGTACTTGGGGAATGCGGCAGATACCTATTATACATGGTTTCGACCAAGCGATGGTTAAATTATTGCTTTAAGCCAACGGCTCTTCCATCCACGCAATACCCAGCAAAAAGCCTTCAACATGCTTATCTCTCTCGATCAAAATACCAGTCACAATAAAAGTATTTGGGCTACACTTATAACAAAAATCACCCTTTTCAGTTTAGGCCTTGGATATGCATGGATGGATCAGTGTGTTGGAAATGTCAAAATGTTTATCCAAATATCAATTTGTTAAGTACCTTCATGTTAACCTCACCGCCTCCTTGGTCTAGTGGAGAGCGGAAGGTCCGGGGTTCAATCCCTGGCCGCGTCATACCCGAAGACGTTAAAAGATGGTACTTGTTGTTGCTCTGACTGGCGTTCGGCATTAAGGGGCTAAAACAAGGTCTTGTCGACTCGGAGTCAGTATACTGCGTCTGAGTGGGGTATTCGTGTTAAACGGCGGCATGGTATCTTAGTGGGCCAGCAGTATAAAATCGGCATCAGTCCGGACTAGTACACGCAGCCACAAGCACACACAGACACACACACATGCACGTGGCTATAAAAGTGTCGTTTAACCCCTATTTCACCTCACCTCATTCTAACCCCATATGTTAAATTATTTAAGATATAAACGACTCGAAGTCGTTGTTAATCGTACTAATCTCCACTGCATGGAGAATAAACCACGAGGGGTGCAGTACCATGTGGTTAATTCCACTTGCATTGTTTTATTGTACGATAAACAACGACAACGATTCGTGTATTTCTTATATGATATATCAACATTATGTACAACCTCTATAAGGCTGTTAATAAAATGTACAAGCTTTAAAATTATTTACCTGTATTTAAATGATGACTCCCTGAATACAATACGACCTCGGCATTGTCGAACGATTCCATTTTAAGATCAGGGGGTAAATTTGGTATTTCCCAGATATGTCACAATTTTAATGTCGATTATCTGGTGAAGGTGAAATGTACAAGCTTTAAAATAATTACCCGTATTTTAATAATGATGACTCCCTCAATAGAATCCGACCTCAACAGGGTCGGACAAGTCCACTGTATGCACAGGAGGGTATTTCCCACATATTCTCACAATCCACACGTCGATTACCTGTACATTTTCTGCCAATACCGACTGCCGTATCTCTCAAGCCTTTGGACGCGGCCGTTCGGCCATCGCGTTTATCTGCGTTGCCAAGCTACATCTATTGGGGAACTCACAAGACACTCCCCCTAAAAAATAACGCCGTCTAATATACGTTAGGGCATGTTCGAATCTTCACAAATGACGTCACGGTAGAACAATGTTTTATCGTTAAAAAAAACAACCTTCGTTCTTCATTGTTCTTTGCGATTTATCGCGTAGCTATCTTATATTACAAAATATTGCATTGTACAAACATTATGCTAGAAGAATACGCATACCTTGTACTTATGTTGAACTAGGGGCCTGAGGCCTCTCAGTGTGCCAAGAATAAACAAATTGAAGGTTTAATGCTGAAATACTTCAGCATTTGATAATACAACTTCAAATTAAAATCACTTCAGTTTGCTTCAAGCGTAAACCAAAACGATGCTCTTGTGATGGAAATATGAGTGAGTGGGTGAGTTAATATTTAACTTCACATCGGCAATAGTTCAGTCATATCGTTACGAGAACGGAAATGTGAGGTGAGGTGAAATTAGGTTTAACGTCGCGTCCAAGATTATTGCACTTATATAGCGACGTGCATGTACGTGTGTGTGTTTGTGTGCCTGCTTGTACTAGTCCGGACTGATGCCGATTTACAGTGCTAGCCCACTGAGATTCCAGGCCGCAGTTTAACATGAATACCCCACTCAGACACAGTATACTCCGAGCCGACCAGTCCTTGTTTTAGCCCCTTAATGCCGAGCGCCAGACAGGGTAACAACAAGTATTATCTTTTAACGTCTTTTGGTATGACGCGGCCGGGGATCGAACCCCGGACCTTCCGCTCTCCGGGCGAACGCTCTACCACTAGACCACGGAGGCGGTTGAAGGGAAATGTGAACAAATGAATTAGCTAAAGTAGTCCAGTAAAGGTCAGGGTTCACAATCAGTCAATCAGATGCCAATAGTCACTGAAAAGTGACGTGCATATTGTGCAAATATTAGAAATATGTGCACTGATATGTTTAATAAACAAAATGACGTACTGTATATAAACATGAGTTTGATTTGACACACAACTAACCACGAGACCGGTTATGACCACTGAATCCCCATTGGTCGGTTCGTGGTCAATCAGTTGGAACTGTGGAACCAATCTTCCCTGGAAGCGCCACAGGGAGAATAAAACAAGGTTTCGTTTCTTTCTGCAATATTTCAGGAATATCGAGGAAGGGAGACATCATGTCTCTGCTTCACATCGAATCGAAACTCTAAATTTTTGTTTGTTTATTGTTTAACGCTGCATTCTGCAATATTCCAGCTATATGACGGCGGTCTGTATATAATAGGGTCTGGACCAGACAGTCCAACGATTGACATCATGAGCATCGAACTACGCCAATGGGATACGATGACATGTATCAACCAAGCCAGTGAGCTGACCATCCGATCCCGTTAATCGCCTTTTATGGCAAACATGGGTTGCTGGAGACCTATTCTAGCCCGGATCTTCACGGTGTCGCCGGCGATCGCTGTAACCACTAGGCTACCCCATCCTCCTCAATCGAGGGAGTCCCTGATATACCAACTCAAATATCAATAGAGACAGAAACGGGGCTTGAGAATGGACATTTGACATTTATTGGATGCGTTGTGGACAATATTCAAAAGATACACCCCTCACACTACCATTTCTTTCTTTTACCAGTCTTGCAGTGATAACAAGGCACATGTCGGAGTTTGACAAAGTTCTTAAGTTTCAGAGGCAATGGAAGTAGGTCTACACCAGTCTGGACGCGCTGTCCCAAGCAGTCCCGTACCTCAAAGCAAGCTAGTTCCTTCAAACTCCGCGGCGTACAAACGAAGGCCTTTAGCTGCTCCATCTTGAGTTGCCACGCTGCCTCCGGAGCTCTTAGTGGCAGATCGTACAAGCGGTCGTAGTCGTAGCCATCGCCACTGTCGGCGTCGTCTTCGTCATACATCTCCAGCTCAAACGTCGGGTCGTACCCTGCGTTGATGAACAGGTCCGTTATGTTTACATTCTTTGCGTAGAGAGCCAGAATAAACGCGGTGTGGTAGACACTATTCATCGGCAACATGTCCACGTTGAGGTCGACAATGAGCAAGCGAACGACGTCGTAGAAACCGTGTCTCACGGCCTGGTGTAATGGCGTCCATTCCCTTATATCAGGGCTTTCGGGATCAGCTCCACGAGATTGCAGAAGTTTGGTCATGTCAGTGTTTCGGTGATACACTGCCACGAAAAAAGGTGTCTGTTCTCTCTCGTCTGTCGAGTTCACGTCTGCTCCAGCGTCTATGAGATCTCGCGCTATTTCAAGACATCCGTGACTTGCAGCAATGTGTAGCGGGGTGGTACCGTTTTTGTCACACGAATTAACATCCACATTTTGAGTCACCAAGTACTGAACAATGTCACGCTGTTTTTTGTCAACCACCATAGACAACAGAGACGATTCTTGTTTGCCAATAGTAATATCAACAGACATCCCATGGTTAATGAAATACTTAATGATGTCCAATCTCCCCTTATTAACAGCGTATGCTATTGGAGAAATTCCAGTTGCCTTCCAATCAACACCATCCACGGCATACTGTTCAACAAGGCATTTGACAACACCGACATGTCCCTCCAAACACGCTATATGGATCGGGAAGACGAAATTGCATAATTCTGTCTCATAGTTCGTTTCGTCTAAGCTGAACCCCAAATAGATCAAACAATTCACCATTTCTGCATCTCCACACTGAGCTGCGACCCCGACGGGGAAATAGTCCTGGCGCTTCACGGAAGAATAACAAAACTGGCGATAGTAAGCCGGCGGGTACATGTGTTTTGCCTCAACATACCGCTTCACCGCGCACAGATCGCCTTGTCGGATCAGCGCGTTCAGTTTGGCTACATGTTGGTAATCTTTGTCTGTTAGCTGTGTTACGTCTGTTGTTAAAGTGCCTTCTGTGAACATACTGATCAATTCTTAGTCTTGTTGTTGTCTGTTCCGCGTGTGCAACACACGTGAGTCATCACAACACATCGACTTCCGGGATAAATCTGAGGCGAACAAGCCCAGGCTGCCAGGTGGGCTTTTATCGCTTAGTGTGATTTGAGCTATTTATAGAACGTAGTGACAACGCGAGTGTCCTTTGTTCTCGCTTTGGCCTCTTTTGCGCGCGTTTTGAAATTTCGCGTGTGTTATTCAATTGTTCTATAAATAGCCTTAATTTTTCATACTAAAGGATAAATAACGAAATGTCGCTGGATTTGTTTCCTATACACACGTGCTCAAGAATTTGACACACACGAAAGACGATTGACTCATATAAATGAGAACATACGGCATTATTTAGACTAACATCTAGTTTCTGAAGTGAACATATTTTAGAGATAAAAACAGTTGTTATATTATAGTTCTAAAATATAATAAAAAGAAGCCTTAGAGACTCCCATTGTCTTCATTTAGGAATGATGGAATAAAATCGATACAGAAAATTTTGAAATTGAGGGGTACATATACTATCAATAGTTGTGACAATCTTGAAACATAAATTTCGAGATAGGTAATATTTAGAGAGGATTATTAGAGAGTTGTTTAAAAAAAATAATATAGCAAAGAGTTTCATTGTATGAAGAGTTTGATTACAGGATTAATTGAGAGATGCGTTCTACAATTACAAGATGGTGTTTCCAAAATAAATATTGATTAATTACAATAAATTAATATTATTACAATATAGAGATCAAAAGTTCACGATCACAGTAGTAGCAGTTGTAGTGCTAGTAGTTGTAGCAGTAGTAGCAGCAGTAGCAGTAGCAGCAGCAGTAGTAGCAGTAGAACAAGTAACAGTGGTAGTTACAGTAGTTGTAGTAGTAGTAGTTGTAGTAGTAGAAAAAGTAGTAGTAGTAGCAGGAGCAGCAGATGGAGTAGTGAGTGAGTGAATATGGTATTACGCCGCTTTGAACACAATTCCAGCAATATCACGACGGGGGCCACCGAAAATGAGCTTCACACATTGTACCCATGTCGGGAATCGAACCCGGGTCTTCGTCGTGAACGCTTGAACCACTAGGCTACCCGACCGCCCCAGTAGTAGTAGTAGTAGTAGTAGTAGTAATAGTAGTAGTAATAGTAGTAGTAATAGTAGTAGTAGTAGGAGGAGGAGGAAATCATTGATCAAAATTTAAGAATAACCAATAATGCGCCATTTCACCTGGCAAAAGGACCACTGTGCGCTCGAATTTAATTGTCTGGTACCTGGGGAGTATGGAGTTCTAGCTGCCTTATAATAACTTCTTTGAGAGGCATTTACAAGAGCTAGAAGGAGGCATACAGAAGAGCTAGAAGGGGGCATTTAGTAGAGCTAGAAGGAGGCATTTAGAAGAGCTAGAGAGAGGCATATAGAAGAGCTTGGAGGCATTTACAAGAGCTAGAAGGAGGCATATAGAAGAGCTAGAAGGAGGCATACACATGAGCTAGAAGGAGGCATTTAGAAGAGCTAGAAATAGATATATAGAAGAGCTAGGAAGAGGCATATAGAAGTGCTAGGAGGCATTTACGAGAGCTAGAAGGAGGCATATAGAAGAGCTAGAAGGGGGCATTTAGAAGAGCTAGAAAGAGGCATATTGAAGCTAAGAAAGAGAAGCTATGAAACATGGCTGGCTGTGCTGTAGTAGTAACATATAGGTTTTCTGTGTTTAATTTCCTGAATGTCAGCAGTAACCGAATTTAATTATAATAAAAATGTTTAAGAATTTTATAATAAAAAATGCAAAATCATCAACTGGATTTTTTTCTACTGATTGCTTATAGCCAACCATATATGGGAAATAACTGGAACGATGCATTACCAAAATGAACGTACAAAAACGTACTCAAAGGCACGTTCGGCAAAACCAGGCACCAGAAACGTTGTCCTCTAGGCTCGAATACTTCCAGGGGCGGTGGGGTAGCCTAGTGGTTAAAGCGTTCCCTCGTCACGCTTAAGGGTTCAATTCCCCACATGGGCACAATGTGTAAAAGCCCATTTCTAGTGTACCCCGCCGTGCTGGAATATTGCTAAAAGCGGCGTGAAACCATACTCACTCACTCACTCGAATACTTCCAGGGCCTCGGGGAATGGGTGGTTTGTTGTTGACTGCGGCGTTAAGCACCATTCACTCCCTCGTTCACTCTCCAATACCTTTTGCAGGTGATTGGCTCGAGACCAGATTGTACTAATTCAAAAAGAGTTCATAATCTATACGCTGATCTCATCAGGTCTATAATATTTCCATTATATAATGATAAATGTCGAAATAGAGTAACAGAGATATGATACACTGGATATATCACGCACGAGCTTACACTACAGCGCAAAGGTTTGTTACCGTATGCTACCGTAAAATTGCGAATAATCCACAGAGAAAAGTTGCGAATAATTTGCGAATAATTCGCGAATAATTCTCAAATAATCCGCGTACATCCACGGATTTCTGTGAAAACTAATTCGCGACCCAAAAGGGACCTTATGGGTGCTAGGAAACAGTTTCGACTTCCACTTACTTAAGTGATAATCGATATGTGTGATGTCATGTATCTCTGTAAGAAATATGAATTGAAGCTTGTGAATTGCATATTTGTGTTCCGAAGATGCGATTTTCACCCATTAGGTACCTGATCTCGTGGTTGGTCACGTTTGTGTATTCATGGCCCTTATTGGGACGTTTGAGGATCTATAACGTCGTCAACGCGTGGCGGTTCTCTGTATTTAAATCAGGCTAGAATCCAAATATATGTACACTGGTAGGTGTAAGTGCTGGTGGTTAATGGTCAATCGCTATTTGTTCTCGCTGTACGGGGGCGGTCGGGTAGCCTAGTGGTTAAAGCGTTCGCTCGTCACGCAGAAGACCCGGGTTCGAATCCCGACATGGGTACAATGTGTGAAGCCCATTTCTGGTGTCCCCCGCCGTGATACTGCTGGAATATTGCTAAAAGCGGCGTACAACCAAACTCACTCACTCTCTCTCGCTGTATATATGCCGCCCTCATGAGTGTTACTGCAGCAAAGACACTTTGAAAGTATAATAAATAAATCACGGTACAGATGATGTTTTCATTAATCTTTACACATATTCCTTGTGTAGTCACGGAAGCAAGCCTAGTATGGTACCGAACAGAACATGCAAGAAACAAATATTGTATAGAAACACAAACACGCTTTATGGATGTGATTCCTTGTATCGTCAAGGAAGCAGGCCTATGGTACCGAACAGAACACACAAGAAACAAATATTGTATAGAAGCACTAACACGCTTTTTGGATGTGATTCCTTGTGTCGTCAAGGAAGCAAGCCTATTGTGCCGAACAGAACATGCAAGAAACAAATATTGTATAGAAGCACAAACACGCTTTATGGATGTGATTCCTTGTGTGGTCAAGGAAGCAAGCCTATGGCACCGAACAGAACATGCAAGAAACAAATATTGTATAGAAGCACAAACACGCTTTATGGATGTGATTCCTTGTGTCCTCAAGGAAGCAAGCCTACGATACCGAACAGAACATGCAAGAAACAAATATTGTATAGAAACACAAACACGCTTTATGGATGTGATTCCGTTGTCGTCAAGGAAGAAAGCCTATGGCACCGAACAGAACATGCAAGAAAGAAATATTATATAGAAACACAAACACGCTTTATGGACGTGATTAATGTTTTCTATACCCTTTCATAACGAAGATTATTGCTCACATATCTTGGTGTTGAAGTGGTCGATACAGTCTATACATAGTGAGTGAGTTGGGTTTAACGCCGCTTTTAACAGTATTCCAGTTATATCATGGCGTGTCAGCTTAATGTGGGAGGAAAGCCCAAAGTGATGCAGGTCTCAGACGTTTACCACTTCGGTGAAACCCACGAGCACGGGTATGGTACTGACAAACCTAGAAACATAATTGGGGCGAACCGGGATTCGAACCCACAATCATAGGTTTCTGGCATGCCCAAGGGACGCAACTCTGCACAGCGAATCGCGGCGCCTTAGACGACTGGGCCACCCGTGCCCCCAGTCTATACATAAACTGCTTGAAGTCATCATATGTATAATACTATCCTCATTATAAGTTTAAAATAAACTGTTCCAACTTAAACTGTTTGTTTCTTTGTTGTTTAACGCCGCATTCAGCAATATTCCAGCTTTCTGACAGCGGTCTGTAAAATAACAGAGTCTGGACCAGACAATCCAGTAATTGACAATACAAGCATCGATCCACACAATTGGGATACGATGACATGCATCAACCGAGTCAGCGAACCTGACCACCCGATCGCGTTAGTCGCCTTTTACGACAAGCATAGTCTCTATATTATCGTGGTTTCGCTGTAGGTTCTAACACCGTGATAGAACCTACTACACCGAAACGTCGCTCCTAATTGTAATAAAGAAGTTGTTCATCCATATATCTTATCCTTACTTAGTACTCCAACTTCTAAATGCCTCTCAAAGAAGGTGTTCCAAGTGTGGTTAGAATGACATCAAATTAGTAAATTATATCAATAATATGATTCTATATTATCGGGGGCTCTATATTATCGTGTTATCGGTAAATCTCGTAATCCACAACCCTTGTCGACTGTTTACTTGTGCAAAACTAAGCACGATATTTCATCGCATTATCAAATACAGGACTCGTTGTGGTATGTCACGGCTACTCGTATGTATACACCTTAACTTTTTTATGATAGTTGCTGGAATGTTTTTGAAGTGGAATTACCTCTACTTCTTTTCGAAATTGGTTAGAAAACAACCCATTTGTTTGGACGAAGTCCCTGGACCCATTCTAGTTCGTATGCATACTGATTATGCATAATCCAAGACAGGAAGTGATATAAACCACATAATCCACACGACGTGTCACACCTCAAAATAGCCATACCGCGATAATATAGAGTTGCCCACCCTTGAGTCGCTAGTGACAGGTACTTTGTTTACCAAACGATAAAGAAAATCTGCATCCATTAGCCCTAATAGATGAGTCATAAAAGTTGAACAGAGAACAAGAAACATTTTGCGTATGACATATTTAATCGTCATTACGATTCATTATTAATAATAACTACCGCGATAATATAGCGTACCATGCTCCATGAAAGTATTCGACAAACATCTTGACATTGCAGAGTGTAAATGGTCGACATGTGGATAGTACCCGAAATAATGTTATGTATAAGATTAAATAGAAATAATTCTGTAAAGCAACCTTCAAAGCTCTTAATTTCACGAGCTGAGAAAAGATGTATATAGGCTGCGACGCTATTGGGGTGTGAGTGAGTGAGTTGGGTTTAACACCGCTTTTAACATTATTCCAGTTATATCACGGCGTGTCAGCTTAATGTGGGAGGAAAGCCCGAAGTGATGCAGGTCTTAGACGTTTACCACTTCGGTGAAACCCACGAGCACGGGTATGGTGCTGACAAACCTAGAAACATAATTGGGGCGAACCGGGATTCGAACCCACAATCATAGGTTTCTGGCGTGCCCAAGGGACGCAACTCTGCACAGTGAATCGTGGCGCCTAAGACGACTGGGCCACCCGTACCCCCGCAACGCTATTGGGATACAATGACATGCATCAACCTAGTCTGACCACCCGATCCCATTAGTCGCTTATAAGATCAGTTCTAACCGGGCGAGGGGCGGTCGGGTAGCCTTGTGGTTAAAGACCCGGGATCGATTCCCGACATGGGTACAATGTGTGAAGCCCATTTCTGGTGTACCCCGCCGTGATATTGCTGGAATATTGATAAAAGCTGCGTAAAACCAACATCACTCACTCACTCTAACCGGGCGAAAGCCAAGAAGAGGGTGTGAATGGAATATGGTTGATCAGTTTATTTAATGATATAATGCTCTGGGGTGAGATCCAAACTGTCTATCGATTTGGGATGGCAAAGTTAATTTTTATCAATACAGTATTCATTATTTCTCTCTGATGTGATAGTTTGCTATAACTAATAACTGTAGCTCAATGAGTTTTTCTCCAAAGTCGCATTAGAATAGCCGAATAATACATTATATAATTTCAGTAAACTACGGTTATAACGAACTATAATTTGTGTTCGTTATATCCGTCAGTTCTCAATAAGCTTGTTCGGTATAAGCATAGTTTAGATATGTTCAAGGTAAAACGGTTCTCGGCATACTCCAGAAACACGTGGAATATAAACTGCCGGTGTGTTGGACCTCAGGTTTGCCGTGTTTCGCCCTTTGTGTCAGACCGCCTCCGTGGTCTAGCGGTAGAGCGTCCGCCCGGAGAGCGGAAGGTCCGGGGTTCGATCCCCGGCCGCGTCATACCAAAAGACGTTAAAAGATGGTACTTGTTGTTACCCTGTCTGGCGCTCGGCATTAAGGGGCAAAAACAAGGACTGGTCGGCTCGGAGTGTGTCTGAGTGGGGTATTCATGTTAAACTGCGGCATGGTATCTCAGTGAGCTAGCACTATAAATCGGTATCAGTCCGGACTAGTACAAGCAGCCACACAAACACACACACGTACATGCACGTCGCTATAAAAGTGCAATAATCTTGGACGCGACGTTAAACCCCATTTCACCTCACCTCACCCACTGTGCCTAGCAACGTTTTGATAACGTTTGTAATTTTTGGCCAAATCCAATTTTCTTTCTGTTCCCCGGCAGTGTAGCGTGTGTACCTTATAAAACTGCACTTGAAAAGAAAACAAGGAAAATATATATTTATTCCAGCATTTATTCAAGAGATGTACTCTGAACTGTACAACAGGCCTTCTTGAAGTTTACCTCCCAGGCGGTGGCGTTGATGGCGGCGGTGGCGGCGGCGGTGGCGGTGGCGGTGGCGGTGGCGGCGGCGGCGGCGGCGGCCATCCTCCAGGGTTGCCAAAGACGGAACTGATATTGGAAAGGTCAGGACCTGAAAAAATGGGAAATATTCGTCAAATACTCAGTTTCATTTCGGACCTCACCGGGGAAATACACCTTTAGCTGGAGCGTGTTGATTGAACTACTGGTCATACGGTTGCTCTATTTCACAGTTTGGTGTTTCAGTCTCCTAACACCTCTGGACATGTTTAGCATGGGTTAACACTAAATCTTGTAACCGTCACTGAATAAAAGCCTTGCTGATAGACATATGTGTTCTTCTATCAGTCGGCTTTACATCCAAAACAACATCGTCAGTCATCCCCAAAAGGCTGGGTTTACCACTAGCAGGATGTCCGTATTTAAGAGTGAGTTAGTGAGTTGGGTTTACGCCGCTTTTAACAGTATTCCAGTTATATCACGGCTTGTCAGCTTAATGTGGGAGGAAAGCCCGAAGTGATGCAGGTCTCGGGCGTTTATGATTCGGTGAAACCCACGAGCACGGGTTTGGTGTTGACATACCACGAAACATAATCGGGGCGAACCGGGATTCGAACCCACATTCATAGGTGTCTGGTGTGCACAAGGGACGTAACTCTGCACAGCCAATCGCGGCGCCTCAGACGATTTGGCCACCCGTACCCCACGTATCTAAGAGGGTTGACCGATAAGTTATGAGCTTCTCATGGAAAGGCTTGACCTGATCCATGAAAACATTTAAATGATGTATTTTCCATCATATTCCACTTCCTCATTGATACACTTTTGCCAACGATGTTGGAGGGATTATATCTCCGTTACGTGGAAGTCCTTCTTTTGGCTGTTCAGAATGTTCTCCAAGACTGCTCTCCAAGAGAGCTTTCGTCATGTTTGGCACCAGATGGAAGACTGACAGAGCCAGATCAGGAGGATCTGAAGAAGTTAGAGCCACACTTTGATTGTATCCATGGCCTTGACTTTTGTGTATGCTGGCGCATTGTCGTGATGGAAGGGCATACTAATTCTCAGTCTCTTAGTGTAAATATCATCCTGTAATTGCCTCAAAAGTGCTCTGTTTATTGTCTGTTATACTTTCGACATCCCATAACACAGAGACCATAATAACCTTTCCAGCTGTTGGGACAGTCTTTACCTTCTGTGGTGGTGGTGTTGACAGATGCTTTGTTTTGATTGTTTGTTTGGACTCTGGCTGGAAGTGGTTAACCCAGGTTTCATTCAAAGTCACAAATCGTTTGCAAGAATCTTTCTGGATGAGTTTCAAACAGAGCAATATGAAGTCATTCGCCAGACGTTCATCACCATATTTCTGGTGTTGATTTTGTGGCAGACCTTCAAGGACGAGGTCGTTTTCAAGGTTCTCGCTGTCACGCTTAAATTCTGCTGCACACCTTGTACAGTGACATAAGAAAGTGCACCCTCCCCCTGCAAGTCCTTGATCACTGCACGTTCCTCAAGGTTGTCCAGTTTCCAAAGGTCACAGATCCCTGCCTATTTAAAAATGTACGGCAGTGTTACAGCGAAACAAATTGCACAATAGACTCACGCTTTTGTGGATATACCTTCTTGACATGTCATGTCCACAGCGAAAGATTTCATAATTGTACAATTCCTTCTATGTGAGGCTCAGAAATTATCAATCAACCCTCCTAGATCTACAGGGGGCTTGGGTGGCCCAGTCGTCTAAGGCGCCGCGATTCGCTGTGCAGAATTGCGTCTGTTTTGCACGCCAGAAACCTATGATTGTGGGTTCAAATCCCGGTTCACCCCGATTATGTTTCTAGGTTTGTCAGCACCATACCCGTGCTCGTGGGTTTCACCGAAGTGGTAAACGTCTCAGACCTGCATCATTTCCAGCTTCCCTCCCACATTAAGCTGACACGCCGCGATATACTGGGTTATACCATCGGCTCAGAACACACTCTATTAAGTTCAATATCAGGAATAATATACAACTTACCACAAAACTCAGTGGAGCCTATTCGGTAACATTTCTGGCCGTCTTTACACACTTTGCTACACTGATCTGAAAAATACAGTTATTGTTATAATATCAGCATGTACGACTGGTGATTAAAGCTGACATTTGGTAGTAATGTCTTAACTTTCTTGTGTGACATTGTACCACTCAACACCTGATATGGACACTGTATATTCTGGTATATATCTACTGACGGCCAAACAAACTACATCAAACTGAAATTTGAAAACATTTACAGACACCATCGAATGCAACTATTCGCTAAGCCACAACCGAGCAAAACTAAACCGTTGTCCGAGTATGATGCTTGTTAAATTTTGGAAGAGCTAAAAATGTGACCAAAGGAGTTATTGAAGAACGGTTGTGAGGTGAAATAGGGTTTAACATCGCGTTCAAGATGATTGCACTTATATAGCGGCGTGCGTGTGTGAGTGTGTGCGTTTGTGTCTGTGTAACATACATACCCCACTCAGACACAGTATACTGACTCCGAGCCGACTCGTACTTGTTTTATCCCCTTAATGCCGAGCGCCAGGTGTGATAGTAACAACAAGTACCATCTTTTAACGTCTTTTGGTATGACGCGGCCGGGATCGAACCCCGGACCTTATGCTCTCCGGGCGGACATTAAACCAATAGACCACGGAGGCTGTCGACTTAATAACGCCTCCACCAGGGGTATGAATGTCGTACAGTGGTATGACAAAGCATATACACTGATGCCAAAACACAACCGGAATGCCAAGAATGACAACAGAACGGCGATAGCGAACCATTGTATGATACGGATGGCAGAAACCCACTCTCAAGTGGCGAGGACCTTCGGCTGTTCCCGTGTGGCCGTACCAAACCTGATGCAACGGTACAGTCAGACAGGTCAGACATCACAGGACAAGTACGGTCAGACATAACAGAAATAGTACGGGTCAGACATCATAGGACAAGCACGGGTCAGACATGTCAGACATCACAGGACAAGTACGGGTCAGACATGTCAGACATCACAGTACAAGCACGGGTCAGACATCACAGTACAAGCACGGGTCAGACATCACAGTACAAGCACGGGTCAGACAGTGGCAGTGGTAGGCAGTGTGTCACAGCACCCCAGACCTCGTGGCACAGCGCCCCAGACATCATGTCAGACATCTTACAAGACGAGTACGGGTCAGACACGTCAGACATCACAGGACAAGTACGGGTCAGACATCACAGTACAAGCACGGGTCAGACATCACAGTACAAGCACGGGTCAGACATCACAGTACAAGCACGGGTCAGACATCACAGTACAAGCACGGGTCAGACATCACAGTACAAGCACGGGTCAGACATCACAGTACAAGCACGGGTCAGACATCACAGTACAAGCACGGGTCAGACATCACAGTACAAGCACGGGTCAGACAGTGGCAGTGGTAGGCAGTGTGTCACAGCACCCCAGACCTCGTGGCACAGCGCCCCAGACATCATGTCACAGCCCCCCCCCCCCCCCCCCCCCCCCCTCCGACCCCGAGTCACGACACTCAATGGGACCGGTATCTGCGAACACTGCATCCCCGTAATCGCTTTCTGACACTGGCACCATTCGTTGTGCCCAAAGTTGAACCGGCAAACTGTGACCAGGTTGCAATGAGCATTAGAGAAAAGGCGATGCCGCTTTCCATGTAGCGAGAGACACAGGGTACCCTATTCAAGTACGATAGCGTCATACCCTACACAACACTAGTGTACATTAATTAACACACAACGTGTTACCTTGGCCAGCACGCTCTCGCCCACTGAAAACCTCTGTTCGACCCGGCTTCATCACCAGTATCCGTTTGCCTATTATTTTGGTTTCGTGTCTTTTTGTACAGAAAATACTGACATACTTGTTTTTCCTTTTTCTGTGGTGACAAAAATACCTCTGGTAAAGTCCTTTTTGGGCTTTCAGTTTTAATAATCATATCAGCTTGGTGTGACTGTGTATTACGTCGACGTTGTTCTTTAGAATGCTCCCGGCTACCAACCAGGTACATGTATTTCTGATTTAACATATTTTGTATTCAGTGACTCTGGATGGACAAACAGGCCAAGAGGGCTTATGTTAAATATTTGCCCGTTTTCACCATGTGTAAACTTTGAGGGACACCTGTAGCGAACTTAAACTTGCTGACCTGTTGTCTGCTGTATAGGTAACCTATACCTAACAAGTATGCCACAAGACGTGCCACTCCATGTACAACTCTGTAATGTCATATACTGAATTGAATAAAAAATATTATAAAAAAAAGAAAAAAAGAAGGCTTATGTTTATACCTCGCCAGTACAAATTATATCCACGAAGGCATTATACAAAATACTACATGAAGACAAACTAAATACTTTAAAAAAACCATGTGGTCAAGAACAACAGCTTAGTGTTATGAGTGGTAGAAGATTAGAATATGCAGGATTTATAGCCTCACGTTAGGTTAAACCCCTTGGAATGAAGTATGTATGAATGTACTGATGTCAAGATATCTAAATTACTAGAATTTTCATTCAGAATAGTGTTAAGATCAACTCCCCCAGAGTATAAAAATGAATCATTTGTTTCACCTTTTTAAAAGGGACCGGAAAGGAAATAGTGTCATACATGTTCATGGTTTTTTTCCCATAAGAACAAGTTGCATTATCATAAATGTCTCTTTCAAGTACGGGTCAGACATGTCAGACATCACAGGACAAGTACGGGTCGGACATCATAGGACAAGTACGGGTCAGACATGTCAGACATCAGATATGTCAGACATCACAAGACAAGTACGGGTCAGACATGTCAGACATCACAAGACAAGTACGGGTCAGACATGTCAGACATCACAGGACAAGTACGGGTCAGACATGTCTGACATCACAAGACAAGTACGGGTCAGAAATGTCAGACATCACAAGACAAGTACGGGTCAGACATGTCAGACATCACAAGACAAGTACGGGTCAGACATGTCAGACATCACAAGACAAGTACGGGTCAGACATGTCAGACATCACAAGACAAGTACGGGTCAGACATGTCAGACATCACAAGACAAGTACGGGTCAGACATGTCAGACATCACAAGACAAGTACGGGTCAGACATGTCAGACATCACAAGACAAGTACGGGTCAGACATGTCAGACATCACAAGACAAGTACGGGTCAGACATTTCATTTCTGTAGGCATTTACATCACGACAACCAAGCCTGAATCGAGAATGTACAAACTGACTCTCCTGGTATTTCTGCTTTCTCGTTTGAACATAATCATATGCAATAGACAAATTTACGATGCGTATTGGCGGAGCTTGTTTTGCCTATATATTGATTTCTTTGTTGTTAAACGCACAATATTCCAGTTGTATGACGGCGCTATGTAAATAATCGCGTCTGGACAAGACCAGTTATAAATGTGGGGCCCGACGGCACCCTCACAACCAGGACACCGAGGTTGACAACGCGCAATACATGTGTGAAGACAAACTGTATACACTCTTCAGTCATTTGAGATGATCGGCTGTGCAAACCGATGTCATGCATGTCATTGACTTTCTCCCTGTAGTGTTGTGCATACATAAACGTACATACGTACGTACGTACCTGCCTGCCTGTCTGCCTACCTGCCTGCCTACCTACCTGCCTGTCTGCCTGCCTGCCTGCCTGCCTACCTACCTACATACCTACATACATACCTACATACCTACCTACCTACATACATACATACATACATACATATTCCCTTACGAGCGAACGCCAGGCAGGGTTACAACAAGTACCATCTCTTAACGCTCTCCGGGCAGACGCTCAATCTACAAGACCACGGAGCAGGATTGCCCAGCTGGAGTTTACATTATGATCACATCAAGATCGATCCTCCCAAAGCCCGAACTCACTTGTAGCACATGTTGCCACAGTCACACAAAGTAGCAGAACCAACAGCAACTTCCGGGTCATGGCCAACTGAAATCACAACGTCAGAGTTTAAAATACACCCTACTTCGTAACACGGAAATAATTGTTTTATTCGTCACAACTAAGAAAAAAAGGTTTCTTATTTCTCAAAATGTATATACTTTGTGAGAATTATATTGTATATAGCAATATGCTCCCTGTGGCACCGGAAAACAAAAACCTTACATTACTTTAGCATTTGTAGGAATTCTTACTTTGCAGAAATATCCATGCTGCCCGAAACGTAATGTTCATTTTTAATCACCCAGAGACACGTTTCTACACACACTATAGTTAATTACAGTTAACTACGGTTATAACGAACACGCTTATAACGAACTAACGGATATAACGAACTAACGTTTTAGCCCCGACTATATGCTGTAGTTATGCTGTATATATATGCTTATAACGAATTACGGTTATAACGAACCAAAATTAGTAGTCCCTTTGAGTTCGTTATAAGCGTAGTTTACTGTAGTATAGAAACATAATTGGTAATGTAGCTTCCCCCCATGCCATGATAAAAAAACATGTACATGCAGAATACATGCATATATCAAGAAAACAAGAAAGCTTGAGTTTGTAAAATGTAACTACGTCATTAAATGTTATAAATGTACAAATGTAACATTATTGGACAGTGTACAATAACAGTTCTGATAATATTTTCTGCATCCTTTCATTTAATAATCTGCCACTTACCTTTGTTTCTTTTGACGTTTATATTCTGTACAATGACAACCAGATTAATGCAGACTTACCTCAACAAAGATTCCTTCCGGTATGACCCCGTTATTTCTGTATGCATGTGTACTACAGCCCACGTGTTCCATATAATCAATGACTTTGTATTGTCACGAATCACTCCAACACCAACGCAAATTCTCCTCGTCGAAAGATATGTTTAATGTAAAGTCGTAAGTAGCTATCAGATGAAACACTCATGTTGGACGATTACCGGCCTAACAGTAAACCTGTTAGAACGTTATCACGGACGGTAAAATGATAATCCGATGTGTAATATAATTTTGGTGTCCCTATGCATCTAATGTAAATGTCGTTTGTTTGTTTGTTGTTTAACGCCTCACTCAGCAATATTCCAGCTTTATGACGGCGGTCTGTAAATAATCGAGTCTGGACCAGACAATCCAGTGATTGACATCATGAGCAGCGATCTACGCAGTTTTGATACGATGACATGCATCAACCAAGTCAGCAAGCCTGACACCCGATACCGTTAGTCGCCATTTTACGACAAGCATAGTCCCCTTATACGGCAAGCAAGGCTTGCTGAAAAACAATTCCACCCCGGATCTTCACGGGTCATCTGATATGAAGATATGTAGATATACAATATTTTGTGTTCCAGATTATTAAAACACATTCGCTTCCCCCAAAAAATGTTGTTTTGCGTTACATATAACAAAGTTACGACCATACATATTTATAAATATGCATATGTATGTACATTATTTTCCATAACGTACAGACTTCATACTTCAAATCGAACTTGATGTTTGTGTCAGTTTACGATCAGCTGAAAAGATGATGAGCTCGGCGTCATCCGTACAAAACAATTAGGACCATAAGAATCATCCGAACAATTAAAACCTAATTTGAATCCTTAATCAACAGCAGCACATCGCAGTGATATTGGCATGGATGCTATCTTTCAATGCATTATGCGCAGATTATCCCAGCATAATTGGCTTTAAAGGGGGATAGCATAATCGTTGTAGCGTTCGCTCGTCACGTCGATGGCCTGGGTTCGATTCCCCACATGGCATGGGTACACGGTACAATGCGTAATCGATGCTGCCCATTTCTGGTATCGAAATTTTGAAATGTTCAAGCGATACTACTTCTCACACAATCATGAATCTTCGAAAGCGAGATCTTTTTCAGCAGTACATTTGACGTCACAGTGAGTAATGTCTCCACACACGGATCAAAATAAGTAGCATGATTTGTGCCCCTATGTGGCAGCCTCTGCAGCACCCACAAGGAACAGCATCATCAACAGTTATTGAAGGCATGGCGACATGGAGTACCATTGTGTTTTTACCTCAGTTACATGCTCAATGTGGCTTGACATCAATATGATCCGTCAGCTGTTGCAAATTAATAACTGGATACGTTCAATGCCTTTTCACATTTTCCTTACCGCAACAAGAATACATATTAAATAAAAGTGTCCTTATGGGTTCTGAAAATACACACGTTACTTTAACGTTTCATGAAAATCTGCTTAGATAACATTTCCTAATTTAATGGATGATTTTTCGATCTTTTTTGGAACGTATATGTGGAATATAATAATTTAGAAACAACATGGACGGTTTGTGCTGTAGTTCAATCTGCCCTTGATGTAAGGTTGTGCATATAGTCTTCAAAAAAGAAACGCAAAGCCAGATTTGTGTGAGGTAGGAAAATACATATATACGAGGAAGGTATTGAGCCACAATGTTGTGGAGAGAACACTTGGTGATTGTAGTCATCTCAATTATTGGTACATAGGAAAAGACCAGGTGAAGGTCAGTTACCATCAATACGCGTATGGAATCGATAGCGGCCTGACATCTCCTGCCAATGGAGGAGACGAGTATGTGAATCACATCCTGGGGAAAGGTACCCAACACGGCCCGCAACGCAAAAGACAACTGCTGTGACGTCTGGGGTTGTGGGTGACGTCGGCGTAGCCGTCTATCTAATTCATCCCACAGGTGCTCTATCGGGTTCAAGTCCGAGGATCTGGGGGCCAGGGGAGAACATCATCGTTGTTGTAGACATGCTGTTGTGACCTGTGCTGTAGGTGGTCGAGGTTGTCCTGATGGAATACCCCGTTGCCGTTGGCTGCAATTGGAAGGACGTGTGGTAGGAGAATTTCGTTGATGTATCGTTGAGCCGTAAGATTGCCCTGGATATGGACCAGACCTTTTCTGCCAGGATGAGAGATAGCCTTCCACATCAGAGATGAACTAGACGAATTTCAACTTATTTAAAGCTTCTTGCTTGGCAAAGGTATTCGTATCCGTTCCGTCATTGAATGGAAAAAACACGTAGAATTTCATACGTGAGCTGCGTCTCCGTAAAGTAGCGTTATAACGAACATAACTGCTCGGGTAATCGGTTTAAAATGTAAGCATAGTTCGAATCATCAATCTAACTGTATTCTGGGCACTAGGACCTGTTTATGTTTAAATTTAGAAAAGTGGAACCCCTAAAAATAAAGGGCGTGGCTCACTGAGTATCGACGTTTTAAACATAGTGTTGAAAATACATAATGAAGGAACAACAAAGATGGCGTTATCTTCGTTTATTGAAGATTTATTTCAGCCCACCAGACAACGCAGGGGTCATTCCGGTTGTGGGGTGGTTCGTGGAGGTGGGGGACCCCCTTCATTTCCGGACAGACTGGCCGCTGTAACGGAGTAACGGAAAATATTAGCTCTATCTTTCATGTAACAGGTGAGTGAGTGAGTGAGTGAGTGAGTGAGTGGGTGGGTGGGTGAGTGAGTGAGTGAGTGAGTGAGTGAGTGAGTGAGTGAGTGAGTGAGTGAGTGAGTGAGTGAGTGAGTGAGTGAGTGAGTGAGTGAGTGAGTGAGTGAGTGAGTGCGTGAGATAGTGACGCCGCTTTGAACAGTATTTCATTTTCATAGCGTGGGAGGAAAGTCCAAAGTGAAACCAGCGATCACGGATATGGTGCTGAGAATCCAAGAAACATAACCATGTGAACCGCGATCATAGGTTTGACGACTTAACCACCCGTGCTCCAATACCAGAATGAATACTAGAGACCATCTTCTATGATATACTATGATCAAACAAATCACCATATTACAAAGCGACATGTGGATTAGACTTGTACATTAATACATGGATGCTTGTCCATGGTGTAATTAACTGCGTGAAAATATATTTAGAAGATAAATTATACATCGATACCCAGCATGATAGCATCACGGTTGAATGAAGGGTTGTGCACTTATTCATCCTGTCTTGCTCTCTTTTACAATATAAAATCGTTCTCAGGTGTTTATCAATTTGGTGAAACCCACGAGCACAGGTATGGTGCTCACAAACCTAGAATCATAACCAGGGAGAATATGAGATTCGATCACACAATCATATGATTTGGCACGCCAAAGAGACAAAACTCCCAGCGAATAGCTGAGGCCCTGAGTTTATTTCATTCTCCATGAAGCTTGTCAATAAATAATCAATCAATTGTGTTCCTAAATAAACCACCAATAATTGTTCAGGAGCAACATGAACCAGGTAAAAGAAAGTGTAGACCATATTTGATGGTGGTAAAAGATTAAACAAACAAGAAATGGTTATTCGATGGTGATGTATTTGACACAGATATCATAGTTGTGTTTTGGGCCTGTAATTTGTCTCTCAGCAACCCATGATTGACGTAAAAGGCGATTATGCTTGTCGTGGGAGGCGACTAACGGGATCGGGTGGTCAGGCTCTCTGACTTGGTTAATGCATGTCATGGTATCCCAAATGCATAGATCGACTTGATTGTCTGATCCAGACTCGATTATTAACAGACCGCCGTCATATAGCTGGTATATCGCTGAGTGCGGCGTTAAACAACAAACAAACAAACCTCTCTCTCCCTCACACACACACACGCACGCACGCACGCACGCACGCACGCACGCACGCACGCACACACACACACACACACACACACACATGCGTCCAGTAACACAGGCGCCCGACATGGCCCCGCATCTACACAAGGGCAATACGACACTTACCGCATACTTCGATAAACCCCAGATCGAGACACGTGCTGCCCGTGGGACATTTGGTTTTACAAGGCTTTCCTGTGAACATACACAATAGGATGAGGATGAGGATGAGGTTCATAGACATCTTTAGAGTGGGTATAGCATTATCCACATGTACACAAAAAGTGAAGGGAAGTTAACCATTGCATGGGCGGATACCGCTTTTTAAAAAGGGGGATGCACAATTAAGCTCTATTTATTGTCTTTGGTGGTAATTTATACAGAAATAAAGATTTTTGTTCGAAATAAAAAGGGGGGTGGGGGCGGTGCGCATTCATTTTGTCCTAAGCTGTTATATAACGATTTTGTTCGAAGAAAAATCAGTAACAATTTGTCTTTCTTTTTCTTTCTTGGCTGAACGATTTATATCACCGACCCATTTAGGAAACGGGCTACATCACCAACACACTATTCTTTTTCATGCCCCCTGAGAGGGTATGTAAGACCACCTCTTTCAAAGTATATTTATATCTACCTCTATTTTTGACTGCAGAATATTTGTTAACTTTTAATATCTGGCTAAACTCGCAATAATCACCAGTAACTCGGGGAAGTGTAAATCCTGCTGGGGAACCATGCAGGTAGAAGAGGTACTGTAAGTCCCCTTGGTCCCCAGTATGGTGATCTTAACCTTGTTGCTGGCGATCTATAGCCCCATTTTTATATTGTGTCGTACCTTAATAATCAGAAATTTTTAGTGTTCTACAACTGGTTTTTAGTCAATCTGTGATATATTGCTAGTTATTATACTGTCCCTCGTCGACAGTTTTTATAACTATTGTATAACTTGTTCAAGTCACATTATGGCTGAAATATTGCCGACGTGACTTTAATTAAACTCACTCACTCACTCACTTTGTCATGAATAAATAGATCAACAAATAGGGTTAAGTGGTCAGACGTGCACATCACGTGTTATCGTACCCGGTTTGGAACATGTTCATAACATCCACCACCGGTTTGTCAACACCTATAACTCTCTGGGGTTGTGACATAGCTGAAATATTGCTGACATAAAACAGAAGAACATTCATATCAGAGAATTATGTCGTCAAAATACGATGGTTCGAGTAACACACTGATCAATCTTGCTTCCTTGAAAAGTAAATATCCCTACCCTCAGCATGTTCAACGCCCAGAAGGAAAAGCATCAACAACAGTTGTCGGAACATGGTGATCTGAAAAAAGATGATAAAATCAGTTATATTTTGAGTATACTTTTTTATCCTGTTACCCGGGTTCAATTCCTTACATGGGTACAATGTGTGAACCTCGTGTGCCCTGCCGTTATATTGCTAGAATATTGCTAAGAACGGCGTAAAACCATATTCATTCACTCTTTATATCTTGTTATATCATACAAAAAAAAGAAAACCCCTAGTCATAGTGGCTAAAAAAACAAACAAGTGAGTGAGTGAGTTTAACGACGCTTTTAACAGTATTCCAGTTATATCGCGGCGTGTTAGCTTAATGTAGGAGGATAGCCCGAAGTGATGCAGGTCTCAGACGTTTACCACTTCGTTGAAACCCACGAGCACGGATATGGTGCTGACTTAGAAACATCATCAGCCAAGAAACGTTTTAATAACGCTTGTAATTGTTTGGTCAAATCCAATTTCCAAGTGTTTAATTTCTCTTGCCAGGCAGTTTGTATTTGCATCAACATGTTCTGTCAGATGTTATCAACTGTCAACTGGATACCTCAATCTGTATGATTTGTGAGATATCCGATGATACAGCAAGATTTAAAAGTGAAATGAATAGTTCTTGAAGGATGCTGAAATATGATTCCATTATTTATTTGTGGTTGGTGACGAAACATTGTTTTCTCATGGATCACACCATATTTTCCCATTACATGCATATGAAATACAGAAAACGCTTTCTCATTTGAGAGAACATGTCTTACACATGCCTTACACATTCAACGTAACATATGCATATGTATCCCCCTACTCGTGACTTTCTGGCAGACATGCAAGTGAGAATACCTCAGGAAGCTTTTTGTTTGAAACTATTTTCTTGTCTCAGTCCCTATACTTTATTGTCTTTAATGTTGTATTATGGACCATTGGGTTCCGTTTTCAGTGAAGCCCCGTCATCAGATTCCCTGTGAATTCGTCCGGAATGAAAACATTCCTGATTAACCAAGCACGAGTTTGTGAGTATGTCCGTTTTATTACATATACTACACTAAAGAAGTTAAAGAACACCCGACTCTTTTATTGTACTACAGTTAACCTATCATAGCACATAATTCTATGAAAGAATTGCGTGTTCCGTAACTTATTTTGAGTAGTATATGTACGTCCCTGTTGGTATTGTCCATAATGTTGGGTGTTCGGATAAACGGGGTCAAGAATAACGAGTTACTACGACGGTATTTTACAGTCCGTTTAGAATACCCACCTTAAGAATATGAGATATTAACATATTCCCACCTTCGTAACACTGGACCAAACAATACTTACTTTTACGTTTTTAATCTAAAGGTGTTTATACTTGAACCAACTCAGGTGTGAAATCATGACGCCATAATGACGCTATAATGAACAGGAACATATTGACGCCACATCAAGAAATTCAATAAACAAATTCTCCCCGTGAACATGATTAAACATATTCACATCGTTGTCAAAACATGATTAATACGTATATAATTAACACCACTAAAATTGATAATACACTAGTTCATATCGCTGTTAATACTTTATGCTTACTTAAGACCTACCTTGTCAAGTGGTGTTACATGTAACATATGTGCTAATAATAAGCAGGGTATAGTATATGTGCGACATTAAAATATGTTCAATATAATCAATTACTATGCATTGCTCTTAATTATCCTTCACAACGATATAGTAATAAATTTCATAAGGCATGCCTTGAATTGACGTGAGGCATTTGCGAACAATGAGTACGAAGATCAAAGGTCTAGCCGACTAAACCGCACTGGTGGACCTATTATACACTTTAGATTGAAACTTCTTTATTCCTCTTTGAATGACCAGTAAAATCGCCTTATGTGTTTCATATTTAGATCTTTGCCTAACTATTAAGAATGACAACATTCTATCCACTAGACTTCAACTTTCCAATAATCAACTTACCTTCGACAATATTCCAACAGCTCCAGCTATTGGTGTCTACATTTCACAACTTTTAAGGTTAGATGCAACCTGCTATTTCTTGGAAGGTTACAAAGAGCGTGATACGACTCTTGGTATATGAATATATTAAATACAGACTTGGCTTGTCAAAACATATGATTAACTATGGACGGAATATATCACTTGAAAGAATACAAAGAATTTGTCCATTCTGTAACTCTGCAATAGAAGACGAAATACATTTTACCTTTGAATGTCCTTATTATGCAGAATTACGTACTAAATATATACCAGAATGTTTCTTATCTAAGACGAGTAGAATAGCTTTTGTTTCTATTTTGTCATCGAATGATGCCGATGTAATGTTTAAACTGTCTTTATTTGTAAAACATGGGATGGAACTACGAAATAACATGTTGAGTGGAAATTCATAATTTTAATTACCTCACCCTAGAAAGTCCTCATGATTATCACCGATTGTTAAATGAATGTTATATTTATATAATTTTTGTTGTATCTCCCAATCTGTAAATTCTCACCCACTGTATTTATCTGAACTTGTATATGGGCCGATGGCCTTTGATACAATAAACATCTTTGACTTTGACTTTGACTCTTGGTATCAAAAGTAGTTAGATCAGGGTTACAACATTCAAGGCATACTAAGCTTTTAAAATGTTTATGGTAGAAGCCATTTCCAAATTTGACGCTTTGGTGATAAAAAAATATGTCCGATGCAATGCCTAAATTTGACTTGTGCCACATATTCCCGTGTTTTATTTTCAGGTAAACAATTGACCTGCCTTTGTAAGTGTTTGTGACGGGTGTTACTGGTGAGGCAGGATTCGCGCACCTTTTCGAGATCATCTTGTATGATCACTATTTGAGAGTGATTCATAAACACGTGCTCATGATATAGCCAAAATCGTACAATATACTCTTCTTTTTGCAGTGACAACTTTGGAATAATGAAAACGGTTAAATCACTTCTATTTAATCGAACTGTTGGGATTGCCTATTGACCTGGGCCTACATTAGCTCACCTTTTTGTGAAAATTTAAAATGTGTGTCGCCGGGGGACTGCAGAGATTGTCTGTCTTTTTAAAATGACGAAAACAAAGGAGAATTGGCATGGCCGAGTTGATGGGAACATTTAACCGGCAGTAGATTTACTTCGAAATGTTTCTTCACATAATGTCAAACACTCACTAAACACCACCACAATACAATGACCTTCCCAAATCCAACATGACTGTCATGTCAGCTTGCAATTACACTCAAAACTATCAAGGTATTTATGTTACTGTTCTACAAGTACATTGTACCATAAATTAGAGTGGATTTGACATTAGAGAATGTCATGCTTGGAAGCACAATGTTAACTCTAGAAGACTGAAGTAACTTCTTTGAGAGGCATTTAGAAGTTGGAGTACTAATTTAGGATAAAATATAGGGATGAACGACTTCTTCATTACAATTGGGAGCGACGTTTCGGTGTATGTTCTAACGCCGCTGGTTGATGACGGTGTTAGAACCTCCGCTTCTAATTGTAATAAAAGGTGTTCATCCATATATCTTATCCTTACCTAGTACTCCAACTTCTAAATGCCTCTCAAAGAAGTTGTCCATCCTCATATCTTATCCTTACTTAGTACTCCAACTTCTAAATGCCTCTCAAAGAAGTTGTTCATCCACATATCTTATCCTTACTTAGTACTCCGACTTCTAAATGCCTATCAAAGAAGTTATTCATCCATATATCTTATCCTTACTTAAGACTGAAGTAGTTAGGTTCAGTAAGAATTTTCTTTCGAAGAAACAAATCGTTCCTTATGAATATGGATCAGAGTTATGGCGTTTCTTTGAGTCTTGGACAATTGAATTGGTCCAAACGTACGCCACTAAAAGCGTTCTTGGTTTAAAACAATTTACCACAAACGTGATGGTCTGTGCAAACTGCGAGCCTATATCACTGCAGATATGTCAGTATATCAGATTGAATACATAATGGTTACAGATTCTTTTTTTTCTTTTTTTGGTTACAGATTCATTCGATGTATAATGACAGACTTCGTAGAAAATGTTACAATATAATGGTTCGTGAAAACCTTGATCCTAAGAACTTGGCAGAGAACGTCAACTACATTAAAATGAATGTGGATAAGGTTATATATGATATACATTTTCGCCATCAATAATGCAAACTCTTTGGGATATGCAATTACAGATATAATGTTAATTTGTGTCCCCTCCAACAGTATATTTGAAAGCATTACTGATGCCTTAAATGTTATAATCCTGATGGAACGCCTGAGCAACAGTCGTATGTCGCTCTTAAAAATCTCCTTGGAAAGAGCATGCTGGATTGTCCCTCAAAAGTTGTGAAACGTAGACACCAAGGGTGTTTCTAAAATATTGGTCGATAAAAAGGGAAAGTTGACAATGGGAAAGTTGAAGTCATCCGTCCTGCAACACTGCCCTGTCATTATATCGTGGTACCTTTATGAAACAACAGATCTAAATATGAACTGACGCCGCTTTGAACATTGTTTCAGTTAAATCACAGCGGGTCTGCTTGATTTGGGAGGAAAGCCGAAGTGGTCTAGATCTATGTCTTAGACATTTACGCCATAAGTGAAACCCACTGGCGCCGGCATTGTTTTGACACTTCGTCATTTAGAAATATTGGGAGTTTACACGACTTTATTAATTAACCCTATAGATTCCTAATGACACCAACAACTAAACCACTTGGAATGAAGTCTAGACTTAGGAGAATTTAATGATCAAACAGTTTATGCCGTTTATTTAAGCTAAACTGCCGAGCAAAAAAACGCACGCACCCATGTTTGATGGTGGTTGCTGATGACACAAACAAGACAGTCATTCCATAGGGATGTATTTGATACAGGTATCATAGTTGTGTTTTGGAGCTTAACGTTTTAATAATGTTGGTAATTTTTTCATCAAATCAGTTTGCAGGTGTTTCATTTCTTTTGCCCGGAAGTTGAAATACCCGGGTTGTTGAAATGTGATGTGTGAGTGAGTGAGTTGGGTTTAACGTCGCTTTTAACAGTATTCCAGTTATATCACGGCGTGTCATGATCAGCTTAATGTGGGAGGAAAGCCCGAAGTAATGCAGGTCTCAGACGTTTACAACTTCGATGAAACCCACGAGCACGGGTATGGTGCTGACAAACCTAGAAACATAATCGGGGTGAACCGGGATTCGAACCCACAATCATAAGTTTCTGGCGTGCCCAAGGGACTCAACTCTGCACAGAGAATTGCGGCGCCTCAGACGACTGGGTCATCATCTTACGCGATATTCCAGTGTGCACTATTTCATTTTGGTGTGTTAACTTAGAATATTTGACGACATTAGCACTTGGCGCTACTCGTCTCTCTGCGGAGTTGCGTCTCTTAGGAGAGTCAGGATCCGTCCGAATATCAGTTTCTCTTTGGTTTTATCCTTAGTTTGTCAGGACCGCACCCGTGCTCGAGGGTTTCACCATAGCGGTTCAGCGTACAAAACTGAAACGCTAAAAAACAGCATTGAACTCAACTCATTCATTCACTCAATCACGCTTACCTCATTTCTAACTGAGTAGAGCATAGCAACCTATTTCGTTTCACAGAAATATCAGTTATTGCTCCAACTGACATATCTAAAAATATTGGAAACTACTCGATTCTGATTCAATCATCGGTTTCAAATCACATATAACCACCTCTAATCGAAACAACTGATTTGAAGGACGCAAAAGCACATCGGTTCGTTTCGCGGTTTCAAATTCATTTTAGCGCGGTCAAATCTACATGTAATATAGCATCGAAAACATTGTATTAACACGTGTATCTGTGTTGTTAACGTTAATGTCGATGAACGTGTCCATAACGGTCGTGTAGCCTAGTGGTTAAAGTGGTAAAAGCGTTCGCTCGTCACGCCGAAGACCCGGGTTCGATTTCCGACATGGGTACAATGTGTGAAGCCCATTTCTGGTGTCCCCCGCCGTGATATTGCTGGAATATTACTAAAAGCGGCATAAAACCATATTCACTCACTCAATAACGCACGTGCATATATATGTATGTGGTTCGAACTCGTATGGCGATCACAGATGACATTACAAGAAGTTTTCCGAAATTCGTTTTATTTGAACACTTTTGAAAGAAATCAAGCCATCAGGGTCATGACCGTTCTGCCTGCACAGAAGAAACCACTCGACACTGTTATTTCCCGCCCGGAAATCCCCCTGGGTTTCCAAAACCAAAACCGGTGTCGTCATCTCCCATTTGTGCTGCAAACAAAGAAAATTACGAAAATAATTCAATGTAAACAAATGCAATTGATAAACACGGTATTCATCACTACTGCTACGTCGTAATAACATCGTCAACACGTGTAGTGACGTATGATTTGTTGTCTGTTAGTCAGAGACCATTATTACCTGCTTAAAGCGGTTGTAACAGTGCCCGCCCACCACCACCAAATTGCAACTAACACGCACCATTTTAATTATGGAAACACATTTGTCCAAAACCTGATATCTAAAATACAATCTGTCAGTTGAAAACAGGAGTGGCCCATTGGCTTTTCTGGAAGCATTCGTAAAATGTGCTTGTAAAGTAGACAGCAAAAGGAAAAAGACCATGTAGCTATCTGATTATGTAAAATATTTTACGAATGCTTCCAGCATGGTTAAATTCGCACTCCAGTTTTCGACAAACACCTTGTTTTTACATTCCATCATACACCTGGACGGCATATTACTTTGGTGCAGGTGCGTGTATATACAACACCACTTTTTAAAAAGGTATTTATGGTATATTTAAATGCTAAAGTCTCAAAGAGCATTTTATACCATTTACATACGTGAACATGAAACTATCCTTTCCTTATCAATTAATTATAATATCGTGCTGGTGATACCGTCTGTTGTCTCCAGGCCTTGTGTAATTGTAATGAGTCATGGATGGTTCAGTGGTATCAAGCATCGAAATTTACTATGCCGAGTTATGTCCCTTAGACAAAGCAGGATCCGTAAACATCAAGTCTATGTGTCACCTTGGGCTTTTAGACTTACATAGTTCACTCACTCATCCGTGTACTAAATGCATGCCTGTATGTTTCCTTGTTTTATAAAAGGGTCATATTATTGGTGATGTCTTCTACGACCAAGCAAGATTAATATTTACATTTTGAAAATATCAATTATGTGAAGTAAAGCACTCTGTGAAGATAAAGATTTACAAATATATTCGCTATGATTCGCGTACTAATGAATCACTGCCGGCGATCAAAATAAACTTTTTTAAAAACGAGTGAATGTATAAGGTTAAACTTACAGCACACGTCACCAGTTTCTGTGGGCGTACAGATCTGTCCAGCTGGGCAATGTATGGAACAAATGCCTGGAAATAAATAAAACACAAACTACGTGTACTCTGTCGAGAAGCTTAACATCGAAGTGACGTGTATATGACAGCTTTACTTCCACAAAAATAAACAATATAAACATAAACCATAATAAACAATATCTGCTTCATATAGACTCGAGGAAGTTTGTTTTAGTTACTATAATTTTCGTTCCTTGAGGTGGTCTGGTGGTTAAAGTGTTCGCCCGTCACGCCGAAGTCCCGGGTTCATATCCCACTTTGGTACAATGTGTGAGGTCCAATTTTTGGTATCCATCGTCGTGAATTTGCTAGAATAGGGTTACACGCGGCGAAAAATCACATTCACGTCTTTAATACTTGCTTCATTTTGCCCCGCAGAACGTCACAAACGGTTTGAGTATGCCCAACAGTTAAAGCGTTCCCTCGTCACGAAGAAGTTCCATGTTTGATTTCCCATTTGCGGGATGTCACTTGTGTTGTACCAGCTCTAAAAAGACTCAATCATAACTGACTGCAGCTGCGGTTTTCAAGCACATTCAGTCACATTTCAAGTAGCTGCACTGTTTTGACCTTGCTCTAGTCATGTATCTATGTCATGATCTACTGAACCGATGGCATTATTTGTGTATCATATTTACATAAAAATACAGGTAATTTAGAAATAAAATAAAATATTGTATCCAATATAAGTGTGTCACGTGACAGTGTGGTTCACAAGGGTGTAAAACATGGCGATAAAGTCGTGATTGAAAAAGAAAGTGTCACCTGTCATGAATGACTTGGCTCACAGTTAGGCAATCATACCAAATAAAACGAGGAGAACCCGTACAACATATGGCGTCAGTTTATACGTCGTCCCCTGCTGTGTCTTCACAGCGGGGGTCCACGTGATAAATCTATATGATATGACGACCAGGGACTCATTTCCTTGTACTAGATGTATTAATCAACTGCAGCGACACTTCGGTATCTCGAAGTCCTTTGATCCATCATGTCGGGTTATCCGTAGCTCGACCCAAGCCGATTTATGGTTCATGTTGCAGTTATTACATACTTCACCCAATCGGGTTACAAAAGGAAATTTAACAATGTTTTTATTTATCCCCGTTGATGTGAATCTAAGTTCATTCATTCTCATTTTACTACGACTGAAAAATATAATTCCTGCTCATTAATATCAGTGATGGTTTTGTTAATACCACTATTACAACAGCTACAATTAAACTACAAAGGCAAATCTCAAATCAGAAAAAATGATAGGTTCTCAACCAATTGTGACGCAGAAGATCTAAGGAGGTGAGTTGAAATGGATTTACATGCGTTCAATATTATTTCACTCATGTAGCGACGTGCATGTACATGTGTGTGTATGTGTGTGTGTGTGTGTGTGTGTGTGTGTGTGTGTGTGTGTGTGTGTGTGTGTGCTTGTACTGGTCCTGGCTCATGTCGGTTTTATAGTGAGATGTATTGAAGCAGTTTAACATGGATAAATCCACTCAGACACAGTGTACCGACTCCGAGCCGACCAGTCCTAGTTATATCCCCTTAATGCTCAGCACTTGGCAGGGTAACAATTACGTTTCACGCCTTTTGAAATGACGCGGCCATTGGATCGAAACCATCGACCTTCCCCTTTCCGGTCAGACACTATATCCACAACATCGCGGAGGCTGCTACAGGTCCAAAGAAGATATGATGTAATATGCAAATTTTACATCATATGGTCGCCAGAAGAAGCATAAATTAAGAAACAATTGGAACCAATTCCGAACTCAGCGAGTGGTGCCCTATATGTTCAATGTCTGTGATTTGCAGACATTGGAACAGATTTCTGCAAACACAAAATGTAAAGATCGCTCTCGGTTAACAAGTCCATGATATATTAATCAGAAATCAGGCTTTACGAAATCGGGCCCAAACACCCTATTAACTCGGTGTTCACTTGTGCCAGGTAACCGCAGTTCAAGTTACTAGCTAATCTGGATGCTCGGTGACCACTTGTTCTCTCTGGACTTTCTAGGTAGTCGTGGACGTGTAGATGTCATAACGAACATCATGTGAACGTCAATGTAAGGCAACGTGACATATTTGGGTGTGTGTCTGTAATGATATTGGAATGGATAACTATGACTGCCAGAACGCCACCGCACGTTGTCCATGGAAGGTTCACTGGACAGTACTACCGGAACTGGCGCCGCCAAATGTTGTGCCGTTTGCCTTTTAACACGATAACTCGTTCCCACCCTGCACGTATCGTAACTGACAACCTCAAGCAGCAGAATACCACTAGAAAGCAATTCCCAGCCATGAGTCCTGACCCTTCCCCCGCAGAGCACGTCCGGGACATGATCGGGAGACGTGTACAACGACGTCAAAGGACAACTGCTACGTCAGCCGAAATGAGCGAGGCGCTGAAGGAAGAAGGACAAGACTCCCCCAAATTGTCATTGAGAGATTGATTTGACATCCCTCGCCGCATAAACGAACGTTTGATCCATATCACGTCATCTCAAACGTTGATATTTTTACATTTGACCCCTTCGTCTCTCTTGGTTGTCTGCGCTCTTGAAATTCACCGCCAGCATGTTCTGTCCTTCCTTGTTCGTATCCATCGATAAACATATCTTTGTATTTCTATATTTTCGAATATCCCCTAATTCTGTGTAAGAGTACAGTTAGGTAAAAATAAAACGTACCTTCAACGTCTGGCGCTACCATTGTTACAACCAACATCAGATACATCACAATCCTTGTCATCTTGGCAGTCTGGTGAAGAGGGATATGCTTAATGAATTATCGAATTATATAATTATGTAGTTTTTAATACATTAACATTTGCAGTTTAGAATACATTTAGTATGAATCTGACTGACCATTCCGTCTTCAGTGGCTGGTTCACGCTGCACGTACTGTCGTCAGCATCAACAAGCCTCAAGTGGGAGTGTTTGTGTGACACATGTTACATACATCAACGTATGACAGCCCACAACAATCAATAATTGTAATTTGTATATACTTTTTAATTTGACGTTTACACGATTCACGGCTTTTACGTTGGACGAGACGTCGGCCACATGACCGTGAAATTGACGTTCATAAGTGTATGACCGACACAATTTGACGTTCGTACGTTTTTCACAAGAATGCGTTCTTGAAATGACAATCACTGACGAACTACTTACACATTTCTGGCGAAATCCCTGGGAATTCCCTAGCACGAATACATGCAGAAGCGTTCTTTCTGATCATTTAGACCCTTTGATCTCGAACTAAGCGTTTTACTATACATTGAGAAACGTAAGAGTGTTTGACTGCATGATCGTTCACGAATATACCCGCTACGACCCATCCTAGTGAACAAAACGAAGAAATGCACATCCAAAGTATCGTAGTGTCGACTCGATCCGTGTCTAGGCTGACAGCGATCATAGTTTACAGCAATCGACGAACTGACCTTAGTGTCTGTTTGACACATCTTTAATCACCTTTCAGTGATCGGCCAGTTGATCAATGATGACAAAAACATGTAACCGCCACAGGTTCCAAAACAATCTCTCCCGTCACGTTTATCGTGTCGGCCATTTTGACGTCTTGTACTTGATGTAAATGTATTACGACGCGCTGTCATTATGACGGACTTCCTGGGGTAGTTCGTAACAGACCTTTCTCATCTAATTGATGATATTGTTCGAATACATGTGTTGTGCCAGATGTTTCAGAAGAGCAAGTTGTGCATACATACGCTCATGTCACATCTCCTCTTGAGGGACTATTTTATTCCGCGATACAGCCGGTTGTTGTATGGCTGTTAGTGTAAACATGAAGCCACACGTACTAAATATAATTGTGTATAGATCTAGGTATACATCATGTGAGGTAAAAACTGTGATAAAAAATATAAGAATTAACTTTCATTGTATTTCTGTGTATGTTCCGACGTTCATACAGTTTGGACCTCACTCTATGAAGGTTCATACTCCAATGAACTCACACAAAGTGAAGGTCAATTCTTAAAAGTAGCAAAAGAGACACAACTACCCTGCATTTGTTTAAGATTCGGAGTTTATATAAAGGTACTATTAAGACCTCTTATTGAGAATTCTTTTTGGTTCAGTACGAACACGCTTATAACGAACTGACGGATAAAACAAACCGCTTTTTGGCCCCGGCCATTTGCTGTATATATGCTGCATACATACTTATAACGAACTACGGTTGTGACGAATAAAAAAGGTGTTCCTTTTGAGCTCGTTATAAGCGAAGTTTAATAAATATGATTCAAACCTGGGAGATTTCGAATAATTCCTAGCATAAGTAGACTATGCAAATCTTGTTCTTAAACGACGCTAAGACAAATGCCGTGTGTCTGGTTTGTGCTGGAACTTACTTACTTACTTACTTTGGAGATTTAACGTGCGCTTTCCGACTGATGCATATTTCGCACACGGGCCCGGCCAGGCCATTTAATGTGTTTCCGAAAGGGGCGAAAGTGGTGTGTGCAACCCAAGAGGGGGCTTTAGGGGTTGCTTATAAAGAATTTGAGAATTTTGAGATTTGGAATAGATGCCGATTGGGTTGGGGAGGAGAACTAAGGGAGCTGGGTATGGTGGATGTTTGTTTGTTTATGTGATTTTGATTTGGTAGGTTATTGTGTTTTATTAGTTCCGTTTTGATTAAGAATACGCCTAAGGCCTTGAAGTTTTCTAGTTTATTTTGTGGGTTTAGTATAATTGCTTCTAGAGAGAGAGCCTTGTTTAGATTGAGGGTGGTTTGTAATGCGGTTCGATGTGTTAGGTAGTGTGTGCAGTGGATGAGTGCGTGTTCTGGGGTTTCTAGTTGTTTGCAGTGTGGGCAGTTACCTGTAGTGTTTTTTTAAAAAGAATTTAGGTGGTTATTTAGGTTGGTGTGTCCTGTTTGGAGTTAAGTGATTACTCTGTCGATTTTTTTTGATGGGTGGAGAATTTTTGGTTGGTTAGTGGTTTGCTGAGCACGTTTTTGATTTGGCTATTTGAGTTTAGATATAGGTTATGCCATTTTTGTGATTTTTTGCTTGTTTACACTTTTAATTTCGGATTTTGAGATGGGTAAGTTTAAGCTTATTTCTGGGATTTTGAGGGATAGTTTAGCTGCTTTATCGGCGTTTTCATTACCGTATATTCCTACGTGGGCGGGTATTCACAAGAAGGTTATTTGTTTGCCTGCCTTAGTTAGGTCGTTGACGCTTTTAAGTATTTGATTTATTAATTTAGGTCGGTTTTTGGTATTTTTGTTTTGGAGGGCTTGCAGTCCACTTAGGGAGTCGGTAAGTATTAGGATTTTTTGGGTGGTTTTTGGATTCTTGATTATGGAGGGCTGAGGCCATGCCCATTAGTTCTGCCGTGAATATTGATTGGTTGTTTGGGAGTTGGAAGGATTGTGTGGTTTTAGTTGGTTGTGTGGTATGGACTCCGAAACCTGTGTGTTTGAAGGTCGGATCTGAGGATCCGTCCGTGTAAATGTGACACCAATTTGGCCAATTTTCGTGTATGTATGCTAGTGTGGTAGTTTTAGCTATGTTTGGGTCGGTTTGTTTATTTATTTGGCTAGCTAGTGTTGTGTCTATTTTGGGTATTTTAAGTTTAGGGGTGAAGATATTTGATTGTTTGCAGTTTTGTTTAAGATTTTTAATTTGGTGTTCATTTAGGTAGTTTGTTATTCTTTGGGATATTGGGGTAAGTAAGGGGTGTCTACGAGCTAGAGCTTGGTTTTTGGGGCTGATGTTTTGGTTTATTAAGTTTTGGATGAGAGGGTTTGATTGGGACGCGGCCCAGAAATTTAAGCTTAGCTGTTCCCTGCGTAGACTTAGTGGCATTTCTCCTGTTAAGGCCTGAAGTGAGGTGTAGGAGGTGCCATGTTGGGTGCGTGTAATTAGTTTGAGAGCCTGATATTGTATTGAGTCAAGTTTTTTAGAAAGAGAGTTGTTTAGGGTGTTGTATATGGCGCAGCCGTAGTCTAGTCTAGTCTAATTGGTGATATGTAGAGAGAGAGAAGGGTATCTTTGGAGGCTCCCCAGTTAGAGCCAGTTAGGCATCTTAGGGTGTTTAGGTCTTTACTGCATTTAGTTGTTAGGTTTTGGATGTGAGCATCCCAGGTGAGATGTTCATCGAAAATAAGTCCTAAGAATTTGGTTTGTTTTTGAAATTTGATTGTTTGATTGTTTAGCTGGAGGATTGGGGAGGCGGGTTTCATATTTTTATGTTTGAATACTATTCCTGTTGTTTCTTCTGAGTTAAGGGAGAAGCCCCATTTGTCAGCCCATTTTTGTATTTTATTGAGATAGTACATTGTGGGCCATTTTCATGCTTTTAGTGCGGATCCAGATGGCTCCATCATCCGCGAATTTTGATGTGTTTACTTTTGGGGATAGGCCCTCGAATAGATCGTTTATCATTATATTGAAGAGGGTGGGGCTGAGGATACTGCCCTGTGGAGTGCCATTTTCTAGGGGACATTGGTCCGATAGAGTTTGGTCTATACCCACGGCTATTTTACGATTGTTTAGGAAGTCCTGGATGTAGTTTATTATCTGACCTTTGAGTCCTATTTTTTAAAGTTGTATTAGCCCATCGTGCCATACCATGTCGAAAGCTTTAGAGAAGTCTAAGAAGATGCCTGTGGTATATTGTTTATTTAGTTGCCCTGTCTTAATATATTGTTCTAGTCGGGCGAGGTTATCAAGGGTTGAGCGGCCAGGAGTGAATACGCTTTGATCTGGGTTTATGATGTTATTTTGGGTTAAGTAATGTTGTAATCTATTTTTAGCCATTGATTCCATTACTTTACATAAGTTTGAAGTTAGGGATATTGGTCTATATGAGTTAGCTTGATTAGCTGGTTTATTAGGTTTAGGGATTGGTATGACTAGGACCTGTTTCCAGGGAGTAGGAACCTGTCCGTTTAGGTAGATGAGATTGTATAGTTTGAGTAGTGCCTGGAGTAGTTTTAGGGGGAGTTTTTTAATTATTTGGTAAGAAGTTAGGTCTAATCCTGGGGCTGTGCCCTTTTTCCTGTTTTGGATTACGTAGAGGAGCTCCTCCATTGTGTAGGGTTGATTTATTTCTAGATTGTTATTGTTTGGTTCTTTTGTGGGTTTGTTTTCTGTTTTAAGTTTATCTTGGAATTTTTGGCTGAAGTTGGTGATACTGCTAACGGCCGAAAAGTGGTTGGCGAGATTATTTGCTTTTTGGGCGGGGTTGGTTGAGTTGTTAATGTTAGGTTGTTTTTTTATGATTGTCGTTTTAAGCCTCTAATGGCGTGGATTTTGCGCCGGACCGTTCTGGCATCTGTACGGTTATTTATACCTTCGCAGAATTTTTTCCAGTCTCTACTTTTGGCTATTTGGACTAGTTTTTGAACCTGGTGGTTTAGTTCGTGGGCTATGTTTAAATATTTGTAGTCGCGTTTTGCTTTATTGAAGGCTGATTTACGTTTTCGTCTAGTCTGTTCTATTTCCTCATTCCACCATGGTACCGTCGGTTTGCCTGTCTTAGATGTTTTGAAGGGGATGGAGGTTTTGGCTGCGTTTATTATATTGTCTGTTAGGTTTTTACAATAGGTTTCTGGATCATTATATTCTTTTTCGTTTAAGTAAGCTTCGTTGCAGATATCTTGGAATTGGTCCCAGTTAGCTTTATTGTAATGGAATTTTGGTTCTTGGTTTTCTGTTTGGATTGGTACGTTTGTATTTCCCAATGGTTATGTTTATGGGGAAGTGGTCACTACCTAGCGGGACGTCGTGCACTTCCTATTGAGTACTTTGGGCTAGATCTGCGGTGCATATGGTTAGGTCGATAGCCGACATTTTTTGGTTTATCTTATCGTACCTCGTGGGTTGGTTGCTATTAAGGAGTACTAGGTCGTTTGTTTCTATCCATTCGGAGATTAATTTGCCATGATTATCTATTTTATCATCTATGCTCCATGTAGGATGGTGAGCGTTAAAGTCTCCTAGGAATATAGTAGATTTATCGCTTATTTGGAGTAGTTTGTTTAGATCCCCAGGTTGGACTTTTTGTTCCGCCCAGTGGTAAATATTTATGATGTTTATGTTTCGGTTATTTAATGTGATTTTAATGCCGTTGGCTTCTAGGTTTGGCGTGTCTATTTTTATTTCTTCGTAATTTATATCTTCCCTGATAAATATGATTAGTCCTCCTGCGGCTCTTCTTGTTTTCGGTTTAGCTCTGTCAGTTCTAACTGAGTTGTAGTTAGGTAGTGTGAATTTGGATTTTTTTGAGAATTTGGTTGCCTGTATACAAGCAATGTGGGGGCCTTTATTTAGTTTCAATTTAGTTTTTAGTTCATGGCCGTGGGAGGTGAGTCCGTGATCTTCCCGCATCATCAAGATGGAGCTTGAGCAAAGTCAGTTGGGGTTTATATATTTCAAGAAGAAACTAAAACGCGATAAGCTAATTTGTAAATTAGTTTTGTTGCAGATAAAGGGGATTGTTTTCAATTCATGAACTCAATACTGCCCTCAATACGGCAGGGGCGAGTAACATACAATATCAACTCCAGAAACATCTACCAGAATCTTGTCAACAAACCTTTTGAATATAATTGATACAATGCCCATCGTCATGACGATGCTCTGGTTGGTCCTATAACAAACCCTAGAATAGTTGTTCGTTATAATATATGGCTAAACTTGAGGTGAAGAATTGACTTTCCTTTGCCTGTGTTTGTGATAGGTACCGCTGGAGTGGCAGGTTACGCTCACCTTTTCGCGAACACCTGGTATCATCACTTTTTGATAGTGATTCATAAACAGGTACTGATGATATAGTTGGTATCGTACAATGAACTTTCAGTAGAAATTTCGTATGATAATGGCAATGTTTTTGTGTCGCTTGTATTGTCAACAATCGCCATCGAGTAAAGGGATGGTGTAAATGATGCAGGGGATGAGTGCAGGTAGCATATGTAGTCCCAATGGTTCCTAGAACGGAAGTCACTGTTTTGACAACTCTGCTGGCGATCTACTGCCCGAGTGTTATATCCCGAGTGTCTAATAATGTCATTATTTTTTTATACCCTGAACCTAATTTTAAGAAAATCTGTGATATATTACTTCTTATTATACTGTCCTTCGTCGACAGGTTTAAAATATAACACAAATGCATAATTTGTTCAAGTCACAATGTGGTTGACAGATTGCCGACGTGACTTAAAATTTCAACTTACTATACAGTAAGAGCACATTACTGTCACCGTGATTCGTTAATCCGGACAACTGTTTGTTACGATTGTATCGTCAGAACCAACAGGAATAACCTATAACTATTTAGCATTTTCAATGTCACCAACAGTACAGTCTGGTCATATCCAGGAAAGATTGTTTGTTCATTCAAATGGTTGCCACAGATGCGACAGCTGCTGTCGGCGACGCACATGGCCCTCAGATTGCTTTTCTTTTCAATGCACAGAATGTTATGTTACAAATGCTGTGGTTCATTCAAAGCGACTTTACCAGAGAATAAATCGTTACTGAGATTTCAATTAGCTCCTAAGAGTACTTTCAATTGCCCCTGGTTTAAGTTGGAACATGTGTTGCAAAAATCCATATCAGTGGACGTCATCGGCGAACCATGCACCGTCACATTCTTGTATACAAAGGGCCTACCTGTAAAGGGAGTTATTTCCTTGATTCTACACCCACGAAAGGGGAAATCGAAAGGTTAGATATCTAAGAGACATGTCACAATGACTTTCCACTTATAACCTTATCGTGAGGTCAAAAGTTATTTTACTTTTCGTAGCTAAGTATTAAGGTTGTTGTACTGATAATGCCGCTTCTGTAAACACGGTTTACGTAACATTAAAGTCGGTAGGTCGGCAAAACACCCAATAGTTCCAATTTCAAATACTTCTTTTGATTTCTCCAAAAGTAAGACGCTATAGGTAAATTTAAAAACTAAATAAAGTGGGGGCAGGGAGTTTTTAAGATAAGTTTTCAACAGGTTATAATAATAGTATTTTAAATAATTTAAGTTAAAACATTTTACTTATTCCGGTTGACGAAATACAAAAACCACTGCTATTGATCTATTAATATTTTTAATATTTCGGCGGGTTCGTATGACATTTTTTCAAAAAAAAAGATTGACTTAATTGTGCTGACACTGCTTACTGTCGTATGTTTTATTGATTTATCATCACTTGGAGACGACGAAAATGTTTCTATGGTTTTGGTCCACACTATGGTGACTGATGAACTACACACACAACTGACATTCTTGTGTAAAAGCTCATGATCTGATGAATTTATATCAGAAACCCGATTGAATATACTATGGCGTTGGTCTAATATATTTGAAGCAATCTTCTCCATGTTTATCATTTTCAACACAAAGGGTGAATGTACAGTCAAGTGTCGTCCTTGTCCACACAGTCGATGGAGCGTCACTAAAGCGTTTAGTCGTCACAGTGAAGCCCGAGTCTCTACATGTTGGTTGGTTGGTTTGTTGTTTTACGCCGCACACAGCAATATTCCAGCTATTTGACGGCGGTCTGTAAATAATTTAGTCTGGATCAGGCAATCCAGTGATTGACATCATAAACATCCACCCATGCAATTGGGTTGGTTGGTTGGTTTGTTGTTTAACGCCGCACTCAGCAATATTCCAGCTACTTGACGGCGGTCTGTAAATAATCGAGTCTGGATCAGACAATCCAGTGATTTACATCATGAGCATCGATCCACGCAATTGGGATCGATGACATGCATCAACCAAGTCAGCGAGCCTGACCACCCGATCCGGTTAGTCGCCTTTTACGACAAGCATATTCACCTTTTACGACAAGCATGGGTTGCTGAAGACCTATTCTACCCCGGATGTTCACGGGTCGAGTCTCTACATGTACAATGCGTTAAACCAATTTCCCACCCGCCGCGATCGTCCTGACATGTTCCTTAAAGTCTGGTACGAGTGTACTCTCGCCCACTTATGAAAAGTGACAGTGACCATGAAATATAAAGTCCGTGTCCACGAGGGGGCACGGGTGGCCCAGTCGTCTAGGGCGCCTCGATTCGCTGTACAGAGTTGCGTCCCTTGGGCACTCCAGGAACCTATGATTGTGGGTTCGAATCCCGGTTCCCCCTGATTAGGTTTCTAGGTTTGTCAACACCATACCCGTGCTCGTTGGTTTCACCGAAGTGGTAAACGTCTGAAACCTGCATCACTTAGGGCTTTCCTCCCACATTAAGATGACACGCCGCGATATAACTGGAATACTGTTAAAAGCGGCGTTGAACCCAAATCACACTCTCACCGTGTCCACGATTCCTGCTAGTTATCTATAAGAATAATGACAATAATCAGGTTGCGTCTAATGTGTATTTAGGGTTTCGTTGTACATAAAGAGCACACACAGAGTTGCACGTGTATCTTCTTGGAGCCTGTTTCTTCATCCTTTAATTTCTGTAACTGTAGAGGGGCCATGACGTCACTTTCCAGTGAATGGTACGCCACCTCCATTCCCGAAGGCTTTCACGGGGTCTGTAGGCTCTAACGTCAAAAGTGCATCTGTGAGAAGGAACGTAATGTTTTGTACAACATGGGCCATTTTCCACAATCCATGTCAACTGCTCGACAAACTGACAAATTTCATATTAATTCATACGGTCAGTAACAAGAAAACAGCTAGGTTATCTGATCACAATCGACAGAAACAAGCGCTTTATTAAGTGGGGCATAGTTTTATGTGTTGCATGACCCACAACCGAAATTGATTGGCTTGGTTAACCCATATACTACAAGTTTTGAATTCGTTGCATATAGTTTAAGTCATGCAAATGTATATTATTACACACTATTTTTTTCAATATTACGTTTAGACGATATACGGCTTTTCCATTGGACGAAACGTCGGTCACATGACCGCGAAATTGACGTTCATAAGTGCATGAACGACACAATTTGACGTTCATACGTTTTTCATGAGACTGGGTTCTTGAAATGCCGTAAACACTGACGGAATCCCTGGGAATTCCCTAGGACAAATAAATACAGAAGCGTTGTTTTTCATCATGTCGACCCTTTTACCTTGAATTTAGCGTTTTAGCTTACATTGGGAAAAGTTTGGATAGTTTGATTGCATGTCCGTTCAAAGATATCCTCGATACAGCCTATCCTAGGGAACTTAACGAAGAAAAGCACATCCAAACTACGGTATAGTCGACTACAGTGACAGTCAACAGCAATACATGAAAGTACCTTCGTATCTATTTGACATATCTTTACAATCACCTTTCAGTGATCGGCCAATTGATCAGTGATGACGGACATTTGTAATAGCCACACGTTCATTAAAAACTTTTGAAAAAAAAATCTCTCCCGTCACGTTTATCGTTGGCCATTTTGACGTCTTGTACTTGGTGTAAATGTATTACGACGAGCTGTCGTTGTGACCGAGGTAATGAGGTAGCTCTTAACAGACCTTCCTCAACTAATGAGAATATTATCTGAGTACATTTGTTGTACAGAAACTACAGAAGTCACACGTAGATCCAGGTCTACGTTCTTTGAGGTAAAAAAGTGATATAAAACATCATGTGCCTTTTCGTGAAATTTAAAAACATATACCCAATTAATGGTGAATTGTAAACACAATAAGCTGGCGGTATCTTGCTCGATCTAAAGGGGAAATTAACAACAAGAAAGTCGAAATCATCCTCTTATCAGATCGGTACAGAGGCTGCCATCCCTATGAGCTGCTAAGAGGTGGAAAGGACATACTCTGTACACAGCAATTAGGTCATCCTAGCCTCATGGAACGTAATGATCGTCTCGTGCTTACCATTATTTGTATTTTTAATTTTGTTCCATCGACCAAATTACCAATTGCCTAAAATGACATTTAGCACCCCAATCTTACGAAAGTTTACAATATGTTATTTGGGATAACATTTTCTTAGTATAGTACAAATTCTAGTAGTTTTTTGTTGACTCCCATAAGGATTCGAATCCAGACTCTCAGAGTGAAACACCTGATCGCCAGCACACAAAGACAGCGATCTAACACACTCAGCCACCGTGGCTCCGACAAAAATGGAAGTCCGACATCTGGACGTCTTAATCAAGTTCTTTGTGTACCCCTCTGACAAGTGTAAATTGGCACGGTTCCCATGGCCGAAAGCTATGAATACACCATGTGGCTCGGTGTCGGAGTAGGTTGGTTCGCTTGGGCCTTGATTGAATGTCATCAAGGCCGAACGGCATTTACAGGTAAACATCATTTTGTTGGAATACTACTGCGAACAACGAACAAACAAACACGGACACAACAATCAAAATTAACAAATTCGTATGTCCTGCTATTATAACATAACGTCATGTTCTTGGGAACATCAGCTTTGGATGTTGTCAACATCAAACTAGCACATGCGCGACGTGATACAAATGACATTCTGTTGCAGGCATTTGAACCGGAACTCGTCCAGTTTGATGGTAGAGCGCTGACACGCAGACCGTCGCGATAGTAGGACATGGGCAACAAAGTGAAACTCACCACATATTTCCTGCTTCTGACGTATGACACACAGCTGTCCTTTGGGGCACATCAAAGAACACTCACCTGAGATCAAACAAATACTGTGTATATTAGTGCCCCTGTGTCGGTTATGTGGGTAACGATTAATATACAGTGTATTGAAAATAATTTTCTGTGTATAAAGCCGATTAACGTGTAATAGACTCTATTCAAATAGTGACAAAATGTAAAAGCCTATGTCTATCTAGTTCTTGGTAACTAGCATAATGTTAGCAGAAATATTATTTCACTCATGTAGCGACGTGCATGCCCATGTGTGTGTATGTGTGTGTATGTGTGTGTGTGTGTGTGTGTGTGTGTGTGTGTGTGTGTGTGTGTGTGTGTGTGTGTGTGTGTGTGTGTGTGTGTGTGTGTGTGTGTGTCTGTGTGTGTGTGTGTCTGTGTGTCTGTGTGTCTGTGTGCTTGAGTATCTTAACTTATATATTATTTGTTTATGCATTTCACTTGTTAAACAATTCTGGTCAAGGACTGGTTGGTTCGGAGTCAGTATACTGTGTCTGAATGAGGTATCCATGTCCATGCTGAACTGCGGCATGGTATTTTCATGGGCTAGCATCAAATGTTCTTTGATCAAACAATTAATGTAGTGGTGCTTACATATAAGGGGTTATGATTTTTGAGTCATTTTCTATGGGAAAAACTACAAACTTTTAATAAAATCTAGCAAGACTTTTGGTCTCAGCTTGTTGGGATAGAATGGGTTTAATCAAATTCTGTTTCTTCTTTTTCAGTATGTTTATTCTGCAATCATGCGCATTGACTTAACCCACTCCGAAAGACATTCAGTGGGTTCTTCTTCTCTTTTGGCCCATTTTTGCGATTGCTTCGACAGCATCCATAATGATAGTAAAGTTATGATCCCAATTCGTAGTTTGCTGCTCACGATATTCTGGTCATAGAGTCGCTATATGAGTGCAATAATATTGAACGCGACGTTGAACCGCATGTCACCTCGTTCACCTGCCCTGTAATTGTCCTGTAACTGTCCTGTAACTGTCCTGTAACGTGACTGTAGTTCACAACGCAATGTACCGTGATGTTTTGTTTCTCATCTTAAACTGTCCTATTCCGCTTTACAAATTTTGAAAACTCCAACGTGTACATTGACAATTTAAAGTTGAAATACATGTTGCTCTAATTCCTTGCCTTCAAACACTTCACGCTGGATTTATATATGGAACATATGATATTCAAACAATATGGTCACGTATATCCATATCTTACACCACGTATCAATCATACATGAATCGTCTCGTGTTTCTCACAATATACTCCTCCCGTGATTATGGTAGCCCATAAGGAACATGATTCATCACATATTTGTAAGACAAATCGTGTTAATTTGCAAAAGGTTACGATAAAAGTAAGTGAAATATCAAAATATGGTAAAACAGTCTCCATGTCCCTTATGGGCCACCGTATGGGATATATCAGACACTTACCGGCAGCTACATTAAAGGTCGCAGCAACCACCACAAACAGCACGAGCAACACGAACCGCTCCCTAGACATCTTGAACTGAAGAAATGGAACTTAAGCCATTAAACAAACCCAGAATCATAAATATTATGAAAACTATATAATAAAACACCAATTGTATCCTACCTTACACAAGGTCGCCTTGTCCCGTGGAATGTCGAAAGTGTCTTGATGGTTAAAGTAGTGTCACTTGTCTCCTCTGCACACGCTACAGGTGTGTTACTGTATACCACCTGTTTTCAGATAATCAATGGACGTGTGCGCATATCACAATCCGTGAGTTAAACCGAAAAGAGCTCCTCGGCCAGAGTGACGTCCTGGTCCTTCTGAAACATTGTCCTTGCATATGGATGTTGTTCACCTCGATGTATTGCCGACATGAAGTGACTACTTCCTCCATGACCCACAGGGGCACACCGTGTCTACATTTCATACCTGTGTGTTAGGCAGCTTTGATCTTACTTTGTGATCAATAGTCATCACTGTTATTGATGCGCATCCAACTAAATCCACAGGCGGTACCTGTGATGACGTGCATGCATGATCCAGGGCTGCGTATCTTACATGGTATCAAATTCTGACGTGTTTGCTTTGTTGTAAGCGTGTTGGTCCGTGTGTTGCTTTGTTGTAAGCGTGTTGGTCTGTGTGTTGCTTTGTTGTAAGCGTGTTGGTCCGTGTATTTGCTTTGTTGTAAGCGTGTTGGGCCGTGTGTTTGCTTTGTTGTAAGCGTGTTGGTCCGTGTGTTGACTTTGTTTTAAGTGTGTTGGTCTGTGTGTTTGCTTTGTTGTAAGCGTGTTGGGCCGTGTGTTTGCTTTGTTGTAAGCGTGTTGGTCCGTGTGTTTGCTTTGTTGTAAGCGTGTTGGTCCGTGTGTTTGCTTTGTTGTAAGCGTGTTGGTCCGTGTGTTTTCTTTGTTGTAAGCGTGTTGGTCCGTGTGTTTGCTTTGTTGTAAGCATGTTGGTCTGTGTGTTGCTTTGTTGTAAGCGTGTCTGTCCGTGTGTTTGCTTTGTTGTAAGCGTGTTGGTCCGTGTTGACTTTGTTGTAAGCGTGTTGGTCTGTGTGTTGCTTTGTTGTAAGCGTGTTGGTCCGTGTATTTGCTTTGTTGTAAGCGTGTTGGTCGTGTGTTTGCTTTGTTGTAAGCGTGTTGGTCCGTGTGTTTGCTTTGTTGTAAGCGTGTTGGTCCGTGTTGACTTTGTTGTAAGCGTGTTGGTCTGTGTGTTGCTTTGTTGTAAGCGTGTTGGTCCGTATATTTGCTTTGTTATAAGCGTGTTGGTCCGTATATTTGCTTTGTTGTAAGCGTGTTGGTCCGTGTATTTGCTTTGTTGTAAGCGTATTGGTCCGTATATTTGCTAGCTGTAAATTTGTCTTTTGTGTTTCTGCTTGTTGTAACCGTGTCTGTCCGTGTGTCTGCTGGTAGCGTTTTCTATCCGCATGTCTGCTTGTAAGCTTTTCCGCGTGTCTGTGTCTTATTGAAGATGGTTTGCAGTTGTCAGTCTGCTTTGTGTAAGCCTATTGGTTATATCTGATTGTGGACAAGCTTGCATGTATGTACATGCAGATTGACTCTTCATAATAATAAAATGCAGTTATGTACATCCTCCAACAGAACGGCGGACTATCACAATGAATCCTATAACGTTATTGCAGTAACTAACAAAAAGAAACATATACTTTTGTGTATCTGGTCCTCTGTTGTTGATGGCCGTACGCGTCTTGTCTATACCCCCTCTGTTGTGAATGCGAGACCTGTACAGATGTTCCTCTTTTGTAGATATCCGTCTGGTGTATGGACTCTCCTTTGGTAGATTTAACCCGCGAAGATCCGGGTTAGAATAGGTCTTTAGAAACCCATGATTGTCGTAATAGGCTGACTTGGTTGATGCATGTCATCGTATCCCAGTTGCGTAGATCTATCCTCATGAAGTCAATCACTGGCTAGTCTGGTCCAGACTCGATTCTTTTCAGACCGTCGTCATATAGCTGGAATATTGCCGCGTGCGTTTTTAAACAACAAACAAACAAACTTTGGCAAATTCGATTCTTGTGGTGTAAATCACTTAGGCGATAAACGTACGTGCTTTGAAATTTGAGACAGTCTAATTGTAGATTACAAACATCTTATTTTACTTTAGAAATATAAGGCGGTAGCGCGCATCAGTTAGTTACTTGGTCAGAATTCGTTAGTTAGATGGTTAGAGAGAGAGAGAGAGAGAGAGAGACTTGGTCATAGTTCGCTAGAATGTTCGTTAGACCATTCGTTAGATGGTTAGTTAGATGGTTAGAAAGTTGGCCAGAGTTCGTTAGAGAGTTCGTTGGTTAGATGGTTAGATGGTTAGACAGATGGCGTTAGACATGGCGTTAGACAGTGTTAAGACTCCCTTAGGAGTAACTGTTTGAATTAGCATTTAGTTTCTTTCATTTGAGGTTGATTCATCTTTCCTTCACATAATAACAGGTAATCACGTTTAGTTCCTCATAGATCTTCATAGTTTTATAATAGGTTATCACGTTTAGTTCCTGAATTCATTCAAAAAAGGTAAGTCATACAAAGTTTAGATTAGTTTTCATTTTAAGTTAAACCACGCTCAAATATTCAGTTCCACTGCGCAACAAGGGCTTTTCGACTTTTGCACAAACGTTTTTCGATCAGGGTTACAAAGTTCAAAGTCTTAGTAGAGCTTAAAACATGTTTTATGGTAGACAGGTGGAGGACGTTTCTAACTTGATGTAGCAATTTATAACAAAAATGAGTTTGACAGCGTGTTCACGTGTTTTGACAGGTGAACAACTGACTTGCCTTTGCATGTACGTGTTTATGATGGGTGCCACACATTCACCTCTTTGTGAACACGACCCGTGAAGATCCGGGTTAGAATAGGTCTTCAGCAACCCATGCTTGCCACAAAAGGCGACTATGCTTGTCGTAAAAGGCGACTAACGGGATCGGGTGGACAGGCTCGCTGATTTGGTTCTTGCATGTCATCGATCCTAATTGCGTGGATCGATGCTCATGATACCAATCACTGGATTGTCTGGTCCAGACTCGATTATTTTACAGACCGCCGTCATATTGCTGTAATATTGCTGAGTGCGGCGTAAAACAACAAACAAACAAACCAAGTTTGTGAACACCTGGTATCATCACTATTTGATAGCAATTAACATACGCCTGTCCGTGATACAGTCGGAATCGTGCAATCGGGAGAGTGACCCGTGAAGATCCGGGGTAGAATAGGTCTTCAGCAACCCATGCTTGCCGTAAAAGGTGACTATGCTTGTCGTAAAAGGCGACTAACGGGATCGGGTGGTCAGGCTCGCTGACTTGGTTGATGCATGTCATCGATCCCAATTGCGTGGATAGATGCTCATGATATTAATCACTGGATTGTCTGATCCAGACTCGATTATTTACAGACCGCCGTCATATAGCTGGAATAATGCTGAGTGCGGCGTTAAACAACAAACAAACAAACAACAATCGGGAGAGCAGAGCAATCTTATGAAAATGAAAACAGTTTTGTCGCTATTGTTTATTGGCATAGACGTTATCATGTTTGATAAGCCAAGTGTGTGAATGTGCAGTGTACCAGTGAACCATCTGATACTGTTCCGATACTAAACGAGAACAGTTCAAGAGAGTTATCGGCAACTATTGGTATATGCATTGATATGTAGGCTACCGAAATATCGACGTATTCACACACAAGTCTTGTTATTTTTTAAAATTAGATACCTGATTTTAATGTTCTTTTGAATGGTCAGAATCAGGCATTCATGTCATGGTAAAATGGTTTACATCGTCTTGTGTATAGATTCCTCCCCTGTGGTAGAGACATGCTTGTGAGACATGTTGGTCAACTGTGTCTACAGTTGGAGAAAACAGCTGACGATAGCATGTATGGTTTGTATCGTCTAGTATAAAGTCCTCCTCTGTGGTAGAGACATGCTTGTGAGACATCTACTGTGTCTACAGTTGGAGGAACAGCTTACGATAGCATGCATGGTTTGTATCGTCTTGTATAGATTCCTCCTCTGTGGTAGAGACACGATTATGAGACATGTTGGTCAACTGTGTCTACAGTTGGAGAAAGCAGCTGGCGATAGCATGCATGGTCTGTATCGTCTAGTGTAGATTCCTCCTCTGTGGTAGAGACATGCTTGTGAGACATGTTAGTCAACTGTGTCTACAGTTGGAGAAAACAGCTGACGACAGCATGCATGGTTTGTATCGTCTAGTATAGATTCCTCCTCTGTGGTAGAGACACGATTATGAGACATGTTGGTCAACTGTGTCTACAGTTGGAGAAAGCAGCTGACGATAGCATGCATGGTGTGTATCGTCTAGTATAGATTCCTCCTCCTCTGTGGTAGAGACACGATTATGAGACATGTTGGTCAACTGTGTCTACAGTTGGAGAAAGCAGCTGATGATAGCATGCATGGTTTGTATCGTCTAGTATAAATTCCTCCTCCTCTGTGGTAGAGACACGATTATGAGACATGTTGGTCAACTGTGTCTACAGTTGGAGGAAACAGCTGACGACAACATGCATGGTTTGTATCGTCTAGTATAAATTCCTACTCTGTGGTAGAGACATGCTTGTGAGACATCTACTGTGTCTACAGTTGGAGGAACAGCTTACGATAGCATGCATGGTTTGTATCGTCTAGTATAGATTCCTCCTCTGTGGTAGAGACACGATTATGAGACATGTTGGTCAACTGTGTCTACAGTTGGAGAAAGCAGCTGACGATAGCATGCATGGTCTGTATCGTCTAGTATAGATTCCTCCTCTGTGGTAGAGACATGCTTGTGAGACATGTTAGTCAACTGTGTCTACAGTTGGAGAAAATAGCTGACGACAGCATGCATGGTTTGTATCGTCTTGTATAGATTCTCCTCTGTGGTAGAGACACGATTATGAGACATGTTGGTCAACTGTTTCTACAGTTGGAGAAAGCAGCTGACGATAGCATGCATGGTGTGTATCGTCTAGTATAGATTCCTCCTCCTCTGTGGTAGAGACACGATTATGAGACATGTTGATCAACTGTGTCTACAGTTGGAGGAAACAGCTGACGACAGCATGCATGGTTTGTATCGTCTAGTATAAATTCCTCCTCTGTGGTAGAGACATGCTTGTGAGACATCTACTGTGTCTACAGTTGGAGGAACAGCTTACGATAGCATGCATGGTTTGTATCGTCTAGTATAGATTCCTCCTCTGTGGTAGAGACATGCTTGTGAGACATCTACTGTGTCTACAGTTGGAGGAACAGCTTACGATAGCATGCATGGTTTGTATCGTCTAGTATAAATTCCTCCTCTGTGGTAGAGACATGCTTGTGAGACATCTACTGTGTCTACAGTTGGAGGTACAGCTTACGAAAATCATGCATGGTTTGTATCGTCTAGTATAGATTCCTCCTCTGTGGTAGAGACATGCTTGTGAGACATCTACTGTGTCTACAGTTGGAGGAACAGCTTACGAAAATCATGCATGGTTTGTATCGTCTAGTATAGATTCCTCCTCTGTGGTAGAGACACGCTTGTGAGACATCTACTGTGTCTACAGTTGGAGGAACAGCTGACGATAGCATGGCATGGTCTGTTTGCTTCGTACAATTTTTACAAGAAATAACAAATCATTCTTTTTTTAAATTTCGCTTTTACTTCTTCAGTTTAATATCCCATGAAAGGGGGATATGGCGTTATGGATGTTTACATAGAGGTCAGCAATTTAACTGAAACACCTTAAAGCTCAGGATCTTGCTCATCGAACGACTATGTTCAGTTTCTTGTGTCTTGTGTAATTTCCCTAATCCATTGTTTCCCCATGAGGCTTGAGCCATTGACCGAGGGAGTGAGTGAGTAAGTGAGTGAGGGAGGGAAAGTGTGAGTGAAAAACCACGTTAATACGCCACGCCGTGATTAAACGGAACTTTTCAAAGCGGCGTTGAACCATACGCACTCCATCAAGAGCATTCCGGGCAGAACATACATGCCCAACAGCATATGCTTAAACCCCAGCAGATGGAGCAGGTAGTCAAACTCTCAATCAATCAATGTTTATTCAAGCATTATTAAGAGACCGCAGGCCTATAGTACATATCACAGATGTGTCGCCTACCCCTTTAGCTCTTATTTACAAAGTATATATATATGTGTAATTATGGTCATGTTTTGTGTTGTTAATACATCCAGACTATTTAACAAAAGTCGGAATATCACAATATTTGGATTATTAAAGTAATGTCAATTGTGTTGATCGATTCTTGATTGCCTTGTCCTCTATTTTTTACAAACCGTCATCAAAAAACAGCAGTGCGGCGTTAGACAACAGTCAAACATATCTTACCTGTCTTACCTGTGAATGAAGCAGCGTAAGTTCCACCAGTGTGTTATTGGAGCTGTAGATGTGACTGTTCACGTCAGACTCCTATGTGATACTGCTGCTTTAGCATGAAGCCTGTATGACATCTGTCAGCAATCTGTTTTATTTTCAAACAATCAATTGTTGTGTAGTGTGTGAACTGTTATTCGACTGGGTATAATGTGCGCATGCTTCTTCATAATATATACAGCCTCTATACATGCAATGGACTTTTTGATATTACAACGAAATGTTCTTGCAGGTTCTAATAGTTTCTTAGTTAGAGTTCTAAGTGTTCGTATTTGCCAGAAATAAATGTAAGGGCTTGCGTTCGCCTTTCTTAAAAATGATAGATGATGTGCACGTAGGCATTCCTGGTATACATGCAGAACGATATAAGGTAGTTGTGATTGTTGTCAGTGTATTTGTAGTGATCAGTGGCAGCAAAAGACTGAAGCGCTCGTAAAATGTCAAGTGATGTTGAGGACAAAGTTTAACAGGAAGCTGATGAGGGTTACATCCCTTGGTTGTTGACAAACAGCAAGCGTGATCGTAAGGTGATTCGTGATGTGACAGTTCCTAGAATGCTGGCTGTACCTTTATAGTAAGTGAGTGAGTGAGTTGGGGTTAAACGCCGCTTTTAACAGTATTCCACTTATATCGCGGCGAGTCAGCTTAATGTGGGAGGAAAGCCCGAATTGATGCAGGTCTCAGACGTTTACCACTTCGGTGTAACCCACGAGCACGGGTATGGTGCTGACGAACCTAGAAACATAATCGGAGCGAACCGTGTACCTTTTTAAAAGCCACACGAGGGTGATTCGATGCCTTTTACGACCTGACTTGCCAGCTGACATATATTGAAGGGCATGTTACGTAGCTACTGCCACCTATTGGACTCAGTTGTATTGTCTTTTGTGATAGTAACCCACAACTGTGTGTTTCAATATCATTTGCTAATTATTCATTGATCTTGTGTGGTCATTTTCTGGTAATGTGGCAATGATCAAACTGTACGGGAGGTACGGGTGTCCAAATCACCTTAAGTACATCGTTACGCACCTTTGCAAAACCAGGATCCGATGATTGCGAGTTTGAATCTCAAATTCGCCCTGATCGTGGAGCTAGGTTTCTTAACACCATACCATGTGAAGTAGCAAAGGTCTAAGACATTCTGCGATTCGCTGTGCAGAGTTGCGTCCCTTGGGCACGCCAGGAACCTATGATTGTG